ACACACACGTACACGCGAACGCAGATGTTTCCACAGCGAGAAATGTATAACGGTGAAGCAGACGTGCGACGGCAAGCGGGACTGCGACGACGGGAGCGACGAGATGAAGTGTCCCCCCCTGGTCAACATCTGCCTCCTTCCGTCCTTCAGCTGCAACCACACCACAGCATGCGTCGGTGTGAGTCAGTTGTGCGATGGAGTCAATGATTGCTGGGATGGAGAGGATGAAGAAAACTGTGGTTCGTGTTGTTTTATGTGTGTGTGTGTGTGTGTTGCTGTGTAGTTGTTTGGTTGTTGTGTGGTTGTTTGTGTGTGTGGTTAGGGTGGCCAGTTGTGCCTCTGATTTGGTTTCATTTCCATGCCCTTTTGAAGTTTATTTGATCTCAAGTAGTTTTGTCTTGCGAAGTAAGCAATAAAATATGCAAGGGCACTTCAAGATGAACCGCCAATGAACAGATTCGAACAGGACGACTGCATCCTCAATAGTCTGCGGCTCTTCCTCCTTCCGCTGCCACAACAACCTTCAATGCGTCCGCCAATCAGCTCTCTGCGACGCTTGGCCTGATTGCGATGATTGGTCGGACGAATTGAACTGCCACCCGGTGCCTGCCCTCAACGTGACGTCATCGGCGGGGTCCAGGTGCCCTCCGAACATGCACCAATGTAATGATGGAAGCTGCCTGCATGAGGAAAGCTGGTGCGATCTGAAGAAAGATTGTGTGGACGGGTCGGATGAAGATGATGCTTTCTGTCTTACCGGTCGGTTGGTGGTGTGGTGGTTTTTCATGTTGTTTCATTAACAAGTTAGAATTCAACTGGCAAAGAATAAATTTTCAAAAGGCAGACGAAAATATTATCGAATATAAACAATTAAAAACACGTGCAAACGAACCATGACGCCAGCAGATAGCACACGTGAATGTCCGATGCAGTCGAATCGCAAGTGTGGGGACGGTCGCCAGTGTCTGGCGGGCCACTTGTTCTGCGACGATCACGTGCATTGTCGCGACGGCACTGATGAACATCTTGGCTGTGGTCGGTTTTACACCATTATCTTCGTCTTCATCGTCATCTTCATCGTCATCTTCAACGCCACCATCATCATCATCATCGTCATCACTGAATCAATGGAAGCGAAGTAAAATAGATAGATATGCAAATTAATAAATACAAAAGGTTCTCCAGATTGCTCGCTGGTTGAAGTGCGGTGCGAAGGCTCTACGAAATGCGTGCACCTCAGCAAACTCTGCGATGGTAAGATTGACTGTCCCAATGCTTATGATGAGAGTAGAGAGGTCTGTAGGGCTAAACGTAAGTTGTGATGCTGCTTTGATGGGGGGGGGGGGCTGGTGTTGATCGTCGTCATCATTATCATTATCATGGCTACCAACATCATCTTCATCGTCATCATCATAACCAAATGGCTACCATTATCATCTTCATCGTCATCACCATAACGAAAACAGCCATTGGGGAATGTTTGGAAGGTCAGTTGTTGTGCAAACCTAGCCAGGAATGCGTAGCTGCCCACAAGATATGCGACGGAATCATAGATTGCAGGGACAGAATGGACGAGAATGAAGAACTCTGCAGGAAGAAAAATTCAAAATGCCATCCTTTCCGTGAATTCGTCTGCAACAAAACTGCTGCATCTGCTGCCGCTGCTTCTGCTTCTAACAGAAAATCTAATAATGACAATAACAGTAAAAGCAGTAATAAAAATGATAATAATAATAATAGTAATAATGGCGGTAGTAGTAGTAGTAGTGGTATTAATAAAAGTATTAATACTGGATTTCCTGAATACGTATCAGACATGAGGAGAGTGAGTGACGTGGATGTGAGGTGCGTGAACAAGAGGGATTACTGCCTCAACTACACTGCAGATTGTGGGGATGGTCTGGACACTGAGAGGAAGAAGATGTGTTGTGAGTTTTTGTCATCATCATCATCATCATCTTTTTCATTATTCCAATTCAAATAATTTATCTCTTATTATTATTATTATTATTTTCATCATCTTGTTAGTTGTGCCAACGTGTGAGACGAACAACTGCAATGGTCTGTGCGTTCAAGACGTGATTGGTCACCATTGCGAATGTTACGGCTCTCTGGAGCACGAATCAAAAGCCGCCCGTATGTGTACAGGTACGTGATTGGCTGGTTGGTCGGTTGTGATTGGATAGGTGATTTGATGGCTGATCCTCGATGCCCTGTTCAAGAACTTAGTTTAATAGGCTGGCTGTTTGGAAGAATTTGATTGGCGGACGTTCATTTGCACCGACGATGAATAGCATCAATAAAATGAGCATAAAATGCATTCAAGATTACAATGGCTGTGAGGACAGGTTCTGCAGCCACTTCTGCAGAAGATCTCATGCCAATCATTTCATCTGCTCCTGTGCACCCAACTACACTCTCCAGCCCGATCAAACTTCTTGCCACGCTAACTCGTGTTAGTTTTTTGTCTCTTGGTGACTTCTTTATCCATTTATTTGTCTTTAACCATCCATCCATTCATTCATTTACTCGTTTATCAATCCATTCATTTATCCTCTATTCGTTCATCCATCTATCGATCCGTCTCTGCAGCGATTGAGCCCATGATCCTGGCTTCCCACAAGGTATCCATCCACTTGAAATCCATCAATGCCGCATCGGATAGGATAATTCTGGATAACCTGGTGAACGCCATCGCCCTCGATTACGATTGGTCGGAGCAGTTCGTCTACTGGTCGGATATCAGCACTCAGGGCAGCAATATTAGCAGGATCAGAGTTAATGGAACCGGCAGAACGGTAAGCATGCAAGCATATTTACAAACACACACACAAATATGACAGAGCTCATTAAAATACACAGCTGCTACATAGTTCGACACTACGCAGTCCAGACGGGCTTGCGGTTGATTGGATCGGAAGGAACTTGTACTGGTGCGATAAGTTGAAGGACACGATCGAGGTGTCCAAGTTGGACGGAAGGTACAGGAAGATCCTCGTTAGGGAGGGCCTGGAAGAGCCCCGGGCAATTGTGCTGCACCCATTCAAGGGTCTCCTCTTCTACACGGATTGGGGTGATGATGCCCACATTGGAAGAATGGGAATGGATGGGACAAACAGGAAGAACATAATAGGATCGGATGTTCTCGGCTGGCCCAATGCCCTGGTCGTTGATTTCATCGGGGACCGACTGTGGTGGGCCGACGCTAAGTTGGATTACATAGCCATGTCTTACCTGGATGGCTCTCATATTGTGTTAGTTGTTCTCTCTCTCTCTCTCTCTCTCTCTCTCTCTCTCTCTCTCTCTCTTTACTTTGCTGATTGGATGTTCTGTCTTTTCTTTCCTCCTTCAGTTATGATGGATGTGGTGGCTGTTTTGTTTATTGGTCGGGTTTTTTAAATGGTTTCAATGCTACCCTGTAAAGTTACCTGACAAAAGACCAGCTGCCGCACGTTTTCTCCATGTCTTCGTTCGACGACTTCATGTACTGGTCAGACTGGGAACACATGACCATCCAACGAACTCACAAGTTCGTCGGTGGCCTCAAGGAAGTTCTCTACAGCACTCAGCATAAGCCTATGTCCATACAGGTTCCCGCGTTCGATCCTTCGTTGCTTCGCTCGTTCATCGAGTTTTTTTTTTTATTTTCTTGGCTTCTTCATTAACTTTTCATCGTTACTAACATCGACGACGAACGACCTCAGATATTCCATCCAATGAACAAGCCCGAAAGCATCCACCCACGCTACCTGAACCCTTGTGACCCGTCAAGTGGAGCACCTCAATGTCCGCCCGGCTCCCTCTGCCTCCTGAAATATGGAGGTACCGAGAGGGTCTGTGCCTGCTCTGAGCGGCACTACATGGCCCAGGATATGTCTGCTTGCATCGCTAATTGCACGAAGTTTGTGGCCGTTGTTGTTGTTGTTTGGTGTTGTTGCCGGTGGTGGTGTCACTCATTCATTCATTCATTCATTCAGTTCTGAATTCATGTGCGAAGGAACATACAAATGCATTCCCAAATGGTGGAGATGTGACGGTGTGGATGACTGCGGTGACAATTCAGACGAGCCTGATGACGGCACGTGTCCGCCCTACCATTGTAAGTACCCAGGAATGTTCCAGTGCCACAATGCCAGCTCGCCCTACGACTGCTTACTTGCCAACTTGATTTGTGACGGTCAGTTGTTCGTTTCGTTTGCTTCGTTCTTGTAGCTGTACCCGCCTACAAATTATCACACCCACGCACACACACACGCACGCACACACAAATACACGCACGCACACGCAGGCGAGCGACAATGCAGAGATGGATCGGATGAGTTGAACTGCACAGCGCACTCTTGCATGGACACCCAGTTCAAATGCAGGGACAGGTGCATTCCACTGCCATTCAGATGCGATGGAAAGAATAACTGTCCGGACGGAGAGGATGAAGTTGATTGTCGTTAGTGTTTGTTGTTGCTGCTACTGCTGCTTCTCTTGACGGTTGTTGCTTCGTTAGTGCATATGTACTGGGAGTTGCACATGGACTGAGAATTCAGTGCATCTGTACTAGGTAAACAGGAGTTGTTGAGTTTGAGTGCGTGCCTACTAAAAGGGGATGCTGATTTGGTTTTGCATTTTTTGTACGAAGAAGATAATTAGTTTTGTGTTTTATGCTTGCATTGCAACCGAAATATTAATCATCATCATCATTGAACATCATCATCACCAACAAAATCGTCGCCATCATCGCCGCTGCCACGGCGACACAACGACACACCACCGACTTAAACAGCTGTGACGACCTGTGCGGACAACACATACCGCTGCAACAATTCCCACTGCATTCCATTCGTCTGGAAGTGCGACGGAGACGATGATTGTGGCGATGGGTCGGACGAGACTGAAGCTTGCAAGGTTGAATCATGCATCAAAAACTATCGCAAGTGTTCTGTTTCAGGTCTGTCTGTCTGTCTATATGTCTGTCTGTATGTATGTATGCTGTCTGTATGTCTGTCTGTCTGTCTGTATGTATGTATGCATGTATGTATGCATGTATGTATGTCTGCTGTCTGGTTGGTTGGTTTGTTGCTTGGTCGGTCTAGCTTAGACCGTCTGGCTGCTGTCGCGTGATGTTTTGAATAAATTATGATAATGAGATTATGGATAATTAAATGAATTTCTTTGTTTTTGAATAAATTATGACAATGAGATCATTGGATGAATTTCTTCGTTGCAGGCAGGTGCATCCCTGAGAACTGGTGGTGTGACGGCGACAACGACTGCGGAGAGGAAGATGGCTCCGACGAGAAGGAATGCCGTATGTGGCTGCTTCCTATTATTATCATTATTATTATCATCATTATTATCATTATTATTATCATTATTATTATTATTATTATTATTATTATTATTATTATTATTATTATTATGACTATCTCTTGTAAATTTTATTTGGACTGAACAAATTATGTTACGACTTAACTAATTCAGTAATATCATCATCATACGCCATCTATTGCGACAGACATTCAAATGTATAATAACTATATTAAGACTGATTACATTTCTCGTTGTACGCATCTTATATCTATAATGGCGAGCATCGTAGACTACTTTCTCATTTTAATTCATTTTATTTTATTTTATTTCATTGAATATTTATTTCGCCCCTTTTTGGAAAAAATAAAAGAGTTCCCATTATTATTATCATTATTATTATTATTGTTATTATTGTTTTTGTTGAGTAATTAATTAATTAATTAATTAATCAACCAACCAATCCACCAACCAATGAACGAGCAGCCACTCCAACATCACCACCGCCCATGAACGAAACAACGACAACTTTGAAATGCGACGACAACGAGTTTCGTTGCGCCAACACTGAAAAATGCTTGCCAGCGTACGTGAAATGTGATGGAATGAACGACTGCTCTGATTGGTCGGACGAGGGAGGGTGCGTGCCTCCATGTTCTCGGGGCATGTTCCAATGTCGCACCCGTCAGCAGTGTGTCCCGCAGAAGAAGAAGTTTGTCGTTGTTGTTGTCGTTGTCTGTGTTGTTGTCTATGTCGTCGTTGTCTGGGTTGTTGTTGTCTTTGTTGTTGTTGTTGGGGTGATTTTCATCATCACTACCATCATCATAATCAGATGTGATGGATGGAAAGACTGTTCAGACGGATCGGATGAGATGGAATGCAATCGCGAATTCAAGTGTTATTATAGAGATGACGAGAGGGATTATGATTATGATGTCGTCTACCCTGACGATGATGATGATGATATTAGTGATGATGGTGGCAATGGTGTTCGTCGTTTCGATCGTTTCGACCATTTCCGCTGCAATGCAACAGCAGCAACGACAGCAACTACAAGCGCCACGTGCATTCTCAAGATGTACGTGTGTGATGGTTGGCCGGATTGCACTGATGGGTCTGATGAAGTTAACTGCACGCATGCCAGCTATCCAAGTTGGTCTTGTTGATGTGATGTGATGATGATGCTGATGATGATGATGTTAATCTCAATCACGAATCACTGCTGGCAGTACAAACACACCTGACACACACGCACCTACAAACAATGCTTACTTGCTTACGTGCTTAACGAATGGCGTGAACAAAAACACTGCACTCTCTGAGGTTGTCCTCAAACGATTCAAAAATTTTCGCAAATATCGCAATATTATAACGGGCGCTATATAAATGGTCAGTTAATAATAATAATAATAATAATAATAATAATAATACTTACAAACAAACATACAAACAACAAACAAACATGCACACAGATTGTTCAGCAGCGCATGGGAGGCAATGCAGAGATGGGCAGTGCATTCCGAAGTTGTGGTTCTGCGATGGAATGTTCGACTGCATCGACGAGTCCGACGAAGGAGACGAATTTTGTTGTGAGTTGTCCTTCTTTTTCTGCTGTTGTGTTGTTTGTATGAACTTTGAACTATCCGCAACTACAACAACATCTACCGAAAACAACAACAACAGCCTCGCACACCTGCTACCCTGGCTACGAACAGTGCGACAGGAACAAGTGCTACATGTTGGAAGCTAGGTGCGATGGCGTCAATCAGTGCAAAGATGGCACCGACGAAATGCATTGTGAGTTGTTGTTGTTGTTGCTGCTGCTGATGTTGTTGTTGCTGCTGCTGATGTTGTTGTTGCTGCTGCTGATATTGTCGTTGTTGCTGCTGATGTTGTCGTTGTTGCTGGTGATGTTGTCGTTGTTGCTGCTGATGTCTTTGATGTAAAGAATGTGTGGGTGGTGGTGGTAGTGATGGTGTGAATGTTGTGTCTGTGATCGCTTGGATGGTGAGACTGTAAGCTGCTTTTTGTTCGATGTTACTGCAAACTAATGGAAACATATGGCTTGTTCTGGAGAGGCACAACTCTGCTTGGAGGGCTGCCTACCTATCAGGTAGATCGATGCGATACATAACATGGAAAGGTGTAAGAACTCCACAATGGTCAACCTGCTTCTTATCATTAAATTTCGTTTTGATTCGTGCGCTTTGTTTTGTTGATGTTATTTGTTGATGTTGTTGTTGTTATTATTATTATTCATGTTATTCAGGCGAGCGGGCGAAAGAATGTTCGCCTGATGAGTTTCAGTGTAGGGATCGTTTGAATTGCGTCAGTCAGTACAAAGTGTGCGACCTCGCCAACGACTGTGAAGATGCCTCCGATGAAAATAATTATCTATGTGGTCAGTTGGTTGTCCTTGTTGCTGCTGTTGTTGTTGTTGATGCTGTTGATGTTGTTGATGTTGTTGTTGATGTTGCTGTTGTTGCTGATGTTGTTGTTGCTGTTGTTGCTGTTGTTGATGAATTTGATGTGATCGTTTACAGCTCATCACCCGATAATCAACAAAGTATGCAACACATCCGAAGCCTGTCCTGCCGGGTTTGAATGCACGCTGCGCCACATTCTCGCCAATCAGACAACTTGCGGTTGTCCTTCTGATTATAGGATGAATGTCTTCACTCATAAGTGTGAAGGTAGGTCGGTTCAATGATTGGTCGGTCGGTCTTGAATAATTTTTCAAATAAATTTCATTTTAAAATTAATAATACAATTGATGAAAATAAACTAACAATGAAAGATAATAAAATTGAAATGATGTGAAACAAAAAAATGTTAAGATGCATGCGACAGTGGCTCCTACTGCACGCACGCCTGCCACAAGAGTGTCTGCCTCTGCGACTATCTATTCAAACTTGTGAAAGATAAGAATGGGAAACCTGCCTGTGCTATCGGTTTGTATGGGTGTCGGTATGTTGGTCTTTGTTTGTTTGTTTGTGTGTGTGTCGGTGTATGTATGCACGTAGTTATGTTAGTGTATGATGCACGTAGTTATGTTAGTGTATGTATGCACGCAGTTATGTTAGTGTATGTATGCACGTAGTTATGTTAGTGTATGTATGCACGTAGTTATGTTAGTGTATGTATGCACGTAGTTATGTTAGTGTATGTATGCACGTAGTTATGTTAGTGTATGTATGCCTGCTTGTCCGTTTCTATCCATCTCTGCATTTAATTAATTCATCCATCCGTTTAATTCACCAATGCATGCATGCATCCCTGCAATCAGACACATATTACAAGTTGCTGATGAGCACTGATACCGGGGAGATTTTTTCATTCGGCCCCACAAACCAGACGAGATTGCACTATTTTAACCAGATTAAGGTTGTTTCCACCACCATCATCTTCATCATCTTCATCATCACCATCATCATCACCATCATCATCATCACCGCAACAGTTTGATCAACTTGGAAGCACAAAAGTAAGAATAACCGCAATGGACTACGTCGTGTCCACCATCTTGTCATCCCCACCCCCTTCTCCACCACCCCCGCCACCATCGCCACCACCACCCTCATACTACTACTCGCGTGAAACTTCATTCCCGAGTTTGTTGAGGTACCCAGCGGGGCAGACGGCGTACGGCATCGAGCTCTTCTTCTGCAGTCTGTTTGATGGCAGCATGCACCAGGCCCACGTGGACGTCAACGACGACGACTGGTCCAGCCACCACCAGACCCCCCCTCTGCTGGAGGTCCCTATTTGTCTCCTCAGTCGCTCGTTTACTTCTTTGCCTGTTCATTCGTCTCTTCATACGTTCATTTGTCTCATCGTTCATTCATTTATTCATTCTTTCTTCCTACCTTCAATTATTTAATTAGTTCAATAAAACATTTCGGTAATTTGAACTTTTTAATTTATTTTCATCTCATTAGTCGCGGAGAATCTTTCCGACACTCATGGATGACATGTCCGTCGATTGGCTGACGAACAACATATACGCCACTGATTCATTGACCAATCGAATCATGGCTACAGACTTTCACGGAAGAACAACGGTTGACATCATCACTAAGAACATTGAAACACCAATGGCTATCAAAGTTGATCCCATTGGGAGGTTGGTCGGGTGGTTGGTTAGTTGGTAGGTTGGTTGGTTGGTTGGTTGGCTGGTTGGTTGGTTGGTTGATTGGTTGGTTGGTTGGCTGGTAGGTTGGCTGGTTGGTTGATTGGTTGGTTGGTTTAACAACTGATGAACAAATGTACAAAACCCCGCAACAACAAACAAAGGAAATTGTACTGGACAGTTGTGGGCTCACATGCACGCATCGAATCATCAAACTTAGATGGTACTAACAGACGAGTCGTTGTAAGTTCAAAAGTCATTTGGCCGTGTGATCTTCAATTTGATCATTTGACCCAGAGGTTATTCTGGGTCGATGCCAAGAAGAATACGGTTGAGAGTGTTAAAGTTGATGGGACTGATAGGAGGAAGGTCTTTGCATTCCAGAAGTCAGGTGCGTCTCCATTCAAATGTTCGTGCACGCCTCAAAACGTACGCCTTAAAACATATACACGATATTAAATGAACGTAGCAAACACACACCACAGCACACCACACCACTCTGACAACTAACATTTTCAGACGACGGCAAACATTTGAACATGCCAGTTCGTCTGGACATCTTGGGAGATTACTTATTCGTACTGACGCACAAACCGTGCTCCATCTATTACATACACAAGTTTGGAACTGTTCTGGGCGATAAATGGCTGAAGTTTAAAAACAATAGTGATGAATTTGGGGTTTTAATGGAAAGCTGTCCAGTTAATGTTGATAGAATCATGTTGGTGCATCCGTCTAAAAAGAATCATTTCGATAATGGTTGGTTGGTTGGTTGGTTGGTTGGTTGGATGATAGATAGATTGATGTTTCAGTTGAGTGATTGGTTTGTTGGTTGGTTGATTGCTGGCTGATTCACTGATTGACTGACTGGCTGGTTGGTTGTTCATCATCGGTTGGTTGATAAATAAATTGTCCACATGATGACGAGGAACGCCACAAAACCATCTGAAGGCAAAATTTGTAACATCCTCATCCAATCCAACTTTTCCAAACAAGCAGTAGCCCAACTGAACCCCTGTTTGAAAGTGGATTGTGGAGAGCATGGGATGTGCGTGAACGTGCCCGAAGGAGCGAGGTGCATGTGCGCCACGGAGTATGTCTGGAACGAAACAACATCTTCCTGTCAGTTGAAGTTCGATCTGCTCTATCTACTTCTGTACGGGCCTGTTTGCAAAGATCATTGTTACAATGCTGGCAACTGCTCCCGAGTCAATGGTCTGGCCAAGTGCAAGTTTGTATCTCTCGTTTGCCTGTCTTCTTGTAGATGCTGTTGGTGGGGCTGGCTGGCTAGCTGGCTGACCAACTGACTGACCAACCGACTGACCAACCGACCAACCGACCGACCAACCGACCAACCGACCGACCGATCGCACAGATGTCTGGCAGGTTATGCAGGGGAACGTTGCGAGCATGACCTGTGCGCAGGATATTGCGTTGAGAAGCACACCAATGATAAATGTACCGTCAACCATGAGGAGGTGCCTGTGTGCCGGTAAGCGTCTATGCGGTCGTACACACGTACACACATACATAACGTGCACAATTGCACACACACACAGACACACACACACACACACACACTCGCATTCGTACGTACATGCAGTTGCAAAGATGGATACATTGGAAGCAAGTGTGAACACCATCAATGTGATAATCATTGCTACAATGGAGGAAGTTGTTACTTCAATCCCGTCAGCAGGAATTTGAGTTGTTTGTTAGTTGCTGTTGTTGTTGCTACTGCTGCTGCTGCTGCTGTTGTTGTTGCTACTGCTGCTGCTGCTGCTGTTGTTGTTGTTGGGATGATGATGATGATGATGATGTAGATGATGGTGTGACGATGATGGTGTTAATGATTGCGCCTGGAGGGGAATGATGAAAGGGGTGGTGCATCATAAATTCACAAATTCTAACAACAACAACGACGACGACAACAACAACACAGATGTAGACCCGGGTACTTCGGCGACGCATGTCAACGATCCTACAAGCACAACAGAACGACAGCATGTGACCACGTGACCTGCCACAACAGCGGCACTTGTACAGTTGATGCTCATGGGGATGTGCACTGCAAATGTTTGGCCGGATATACAGGTCTGCTGCTGTCGCGTGTGGTCTGCCGCTGTCGCGTGTGGTCTGCTGTTGCGTGTGTGTGGTTTGGTGGGTTGTCAGTAGCAATTGTTGCATTTTCCTATTTTTTGGTGTGCTCCTCTGTAGTTTGCTAGGTAGGAAGGACCACATTTCGTAACTTTTCAGGCACCTACTGTCAAAAGTGTTTCATCGAAGTCAAAAGCAGCAGCAGCAGCAACAAGAACAGCAACAACAGCAGCATCAACAAACCAACCACAACATCAGTACACAGATCAATAACGTGCAACAAATGCTACCACGCGTGCGCAAACAGCTCTTTAAATTCGTGCCATCAATCACACTGTCAACATCATCCCCAAGTCTTCTGCTCGCGAACTGCCGGCCACAACCTCGCTGCTGATTTTCATGCGGCATTCTTTTGCAGCTGTCCGCCTGGCTTTGTTAATTTGTGCCGGACGAATGGCAGGAATACAACCACCAACAACAACAACAACGACAACAACAACGACAACAGCGATTACGACCTGAGCGTCCTAAATGCCCTGACCGATGACGATGAATACTGCACTGGCTGCATTGCTGTCTGTGATTATCATTGCAGTAAGCTTGGCACTGGTTAGTAGTGGTGGTGGTGGTGGTGATGGTGATGATGGCGTTGACGGTGAATATGATGATAATGATTGCAGCTAGTTGTTCTATGGACGAGATGAGCGATAATGTGAAATGCAATTGCAAACGTGGCTGGTCTGGGGAGTCGTGCGACCTGTGTGGCCAGGACGAATATCGCTGCAGCAACAGAGGAACGTGCAGGAATGTGGACGGTACGTTGGTTGCTGCTCTTGTTGCTCTTGTTGTTGCTGCTGCTGCTGCTGCTGGCGTCATCATCATTATTTTGTTTCTCTGCCAGTTATACCTCATCCGTTTATTTACCAATCAACTGATCATATCACATCACTCACCGATCGACCAATCAGACGTGATCACGTGTGCATGCAGTCCCGGTTTCCATGGCAACCAGTGCCAGATGGATGGAGGTTGCTCGTTGGTTAGATGCCAGAACAATGGAACGTGCTATAAGAAGAGCGAGATATCTTACCAGTGCTTGTACGCTTCTCATTTGCATAATTTATGCCGACTTATCCGAGCTATTTTTTTCAATTTATGCAGACTTATTCACACAGTCATACACACAGACACACACACAGACACACACATACAAATAGACAAACAAACAAATATAAACAGATGTGACGCGTATCACAGTGGAACTTTTTGCGAAATAAAGGAGATAGGTAGAGGTTGTGAGTTGTCGTTGTCGTCGCGATGCTTGAGTTGTTGTTGATGTTTAATCTTTAATGCTGCCAACTAATGTTGTTGTTGCCATTTTCGGGGATGATGATGATGACGATGATGATGATGATCTTGCGAAATATATTTGAATGAAGTTGCTAAACCCGTGGATCGTGGCTTTGCATGGGAGGTGATGATGATGATCATCATCGTCGTCGTCGTCGTCTCGATCGCTCTTGTCGTTGCTGCCATCATCTGGAGGAGAAAGCGGTACGTAAGGACGAGGTGGTGGTGGTGGTGATGATGATGATGATGATGATGATGATGATGATGATGATGTTGATGATGATGATGCTGTGATGTTGATGATGATGATGCTGTGATGTTGATGATGATGATGCTGTGATGTTGATGATGATGATGCTGTGATGGTGATGATGATGCTGTGATGGTGATGATGATGATGCTGTGATGATGATGATGCTGTGATGTTGATGATGATGATGCTGTGATGTTGATGATGATGATGCTGTGATGTTGATGATGATGATGCTGTGATGGTGATGATGATGATGCTGTGATGGTGATGATGATGATAATTTGTTACTAAAAATAGCAGCGGGGGCTACGGACACCGGCTAATGGATGGTTCGGTCGGATCGAACGTTTCAATTGCAAACCCCATGTTTGCGAAGGAGGATGATGATAATGATGACGACGACGTGGATGGTTATGATAATGATGCCGTCTATCTCGTCACAACTAGACCCGTTTGTATTTGTATCATCATCTTTTATTTGTATTGTCCCTCATGCTTATTGTTAGGGTATCTGCTGCTGCATCGTGTTGTATCTGCGTCGCTCTGTGCATTATGCTGCATCGTGCTTCCTATCGCACCGAATGTTTGTTTGTTTGTTTGTTTGTTTGTTCGAAGCTTGGCCATTTTGAAAGGCCAAACAATGCAATCCCTGCTTAAGCCATGACATTTTTTGGGTTCCAGTCTAATGATTGTTGGTTGTTACCAGCGAGACCAAGGCAGCTCTCGAAGCGTTTGAGTTTGAACGAGAGACTGAATTTTGCCTGGAGGAAGAGTTGCTAGGCAGCCGTGAATGGCGCAGTCTTTCTTTCGCTGGGTTGTTTTCATTCTAAAATTTGAAAGTTTTTTCGAAGTTGTGAGTAGCAGACTAGTCAGACCAACTTCCCGGTGCATCGCTAGCCGTTCTAAGCTACTGCATCCCTTCATATCGTGCTGCTTAGTATCGTATCTTATTGTGTTGTATTGTGTTGTGTTGTTTTGTGTTGTGTGTTATATCCTATCGAGTATTTTTACCAACTCTGACCTTTCTTCCTTTCTTCCCAAGCAGGCGAGAACGAAGTATAAAAAGGTGGCCCCTCCTCATCTGAGGCAGAAAACTAACGACCACAACTCATCAGCCAACAACAACAACAACAAAACATCGCCATCAACTACGACAAAATTTTCACCTTCAACCTCAGCAACAACATCAACAACTACGGAGACAGCTCAATTGCTGAATGATAATGATTGCTCATTGTCTTTGTCATCATCCCACCATCCAGTTGATTTGTGATTCGTTCGCACGCTCATTCATTCGTTCATTCATTCATTCATTTATTCATTCATTCATTCATTCATTCATTCATTCATTCACTCATTCGTTAGTTAATTCATTCAATCACTTTTTTCCTCACAGTGTTAATTTAATCTTCACGCCAGCATATACGAGAGATGATATTATACACGTACGTAGGGCATACGCTGCGTTCGTTCGAATGATGCGTGAGCTTGTCTGACTCATTAACACCAACAACAACATCAACTACAACAACATTAAAAACAAAAGCATAGACATCTTAATAATCTTCCTCTGTTTCGACTCGATGAATTTTAAACGCTGATATTTTTTATAGAGCATCTATATAAGATTATGTTATATAATATCATGTTACACTCTCTGGTGTTCTGCACTGTGTCTTGCATTGAACCAACTGATATTTTAAGAAGCTGTTTGTTTCGTGCCTTGAAATTAGATAGATATTCCTCATTTCATTTCGCGACTTTCAAAGGTTCTTTATGTTGATGTGATTAAAAACAACGATGGCGATAATTACAACAACGATAATGTCACTTGTTAATGTCACTTTATTAACGTGTATTGAATTTCAGAATTATTTTCTTATGCATTTTTCTAACATTTATGTTGTTTTAAAATTTTAATTGCAATGTAAACAAATGTGTTATTGTATGCTGCCTGTGTATGTGTGTGTGCGTGTGTGTGTGTGTGTGTGTTTGCGTGCGTGTATGCGAGTGTATGTTTGTTTCATTAAACAGTATTTCATTTTTTCAAGCAGGACTTTTTTCATTTTGGTTCCGTTTTATATTAACAACAATTTTATCCATACGTGTATTCTAACAGTTTTATACATTATACATGATAAATATACATGTATGTATTGTATATATATATATATATATATATATATATATATATATATATATATATATATATATGTATGTATGTATGTATTTATGTATATATGTTTCTATGAAATTTATATGATGATAATGACATATTAACATCATTTTAAATAATTATATTTTTAAAAAATGTAAAAACTATTTAATGTGTATATATATAATTATATTATATATATATAATATATATATATATATATATATATATATATATATATATATATATATATATATATATATAATGAATTATAAACGAGTCTTGATGTATATAAGGTATGTGTAAATGTTTTAATGTGGTTTCGCCATGATTGTTGCCAGTTTATTAATGGCAGCGAAAATCCATCTTGTATCGAATTTGCTGATGAATAGGTGGTACAATATTTTTGAGACTTATAACTTATCAGCAGAAGGATTTTGTTGTTGTTGATGTTGAGGTTGTTGTTGATGTTGAGGTTGTTGTTGATGTTGAGGTTGTTGTTGATGTTGAGGTTGTTGTTTGAATGGAAAAAAAAAACTATTTTTTCAACTGATTTTAATATTTTGAATTTATTTTTCTCTTTTATAGGTGCATCATGGAATTTCGCTCAATGGCGTTTTAAAATTTAAGAAAAAAAATCATCTATCTATAATCTTCATTTTCATACAATTGCGAAACTTTAATTTCAACTTATTTTTTTGTCTGACTTTAAATATTGATTTTATTATTTGATTTTATTATTTGATTTAATTCGTTTAAAATCTGACTCAATTTTCACCCACCATCAGGCTCGCATGTTGCATACGTTTTCAGAAAAAAGTGCTCAGACAGTTTAATAGTTTGCTGCTTCATTTCTTAAATTTAAATAAAAAAAACCAAATTTATGTATGTGTTGTATTCGTATTGTATGGTATTCGTGTTGTATTGTATTGTATTCGTGTTGTATTGTATTCCTGTTGTATTGTATTGTATTCTTGTTGTATTTGTGTTGTATGGTATTGGTGCTGTATTGTATTGTATTCGTGTTGTATTGTATTGTATTTGTATTGTATTCTTATTGTATTTGTATTCTATTCTTATTGTGTTTGTATTGTGTTTGTATTGTATTTTTATTGTGTTTGTATTCTATTCTTATTGTGTTTGTATTGTATTCTTATTGTGGTTGTATTGTATTTGTATTGTATTGTATTTGTATTCATCGAATGTGCAGTGGTTTGTGTTGTATTCGGAGGGAGAGGAATTATTTTTTGCATCAGGCGCACCTGCCGCTCATATAATACGACCAGTACGTTGGTGATGATGAGGATGGTGCTGATTGTGATGATGATGATGATGATGATGGTGCTGATGATAACAAGGATGATGATGGTGGTAGTGGTGGCGATGAAGCTGCATGCTGACGAGTTGTGACAAAAATACCAACAGAATCATTTTTCACTTTTATTAAGGTATCTCAGTTTTGGAATAATTATATAAATAATAATAATAAATCTGTTATGAATTTTTTTACAATACATATATATGTATTTTCATATATCACAGAATTGTTGGAAAGGAAATGAATGAATGATTGAATGGATAAATGAATGATTAAATGAATGAATGAATTATTGAATGAATGAATGGATGGGTGTTAAATATTTGCTTTGCAATGAAATTTAATCTTAACCATATTTAAGGTTTACAAAATTGAATATGTATGTATGTGTAAGTGTATTCGCCTATGTTATGTTTGCTTGTATGTGTGTGTGTGTGTGTGTATGTATATGCTAACATACTTACGTACATATATACATGTATACAAAAATAGACACATTCATGCTTGCAAGCATGCATTAAAAAATACAAATATATATGTATGCATATATATATATATACCAAAAAATACAAACCATAGAACTTGAAATTTATCATGAATATTAACGATGTCATGAATATTAATGATGTCAAAAGCGTATGCGTATTTAAAAATTAATCCAAAAAATTCTTCATTTGTGAGAAAGAGTTGAAAATAATCGTATGTATGAATGTGTGTGTGCTTGTGTGTGTGTTTAGATGTGTGCGTGTGTGTGTGTATGTGTAAGTTCGTGCGAAAACCACATGAATACCGTTAGTGTGCATTGATTGCTAAATCACAAAGGAGAATGGTGATGACGATGGCGACGAAGATGATGATGATGATGACGACGACATATAAGAATGTTACAAGAACGAAGAATGTTAAGAAGAATGCAATAACGAACTAATTGTAACATGCGGTTGTAAATAATGCGAGATATCAACTGACATGACAACTTGAATTATCAAATATTTTTTGGTGTTGTGTGTTTCGCTCTTTTTTTCATTCATTCAATCATTCATTCATTCATTTGATCAATCAATTTATCAATCCATTTATTTATTTACATCCATTCGCCGATTCTTTCAATCCATCTATTCATCCATAATCGTTCGTTCTCTCATTCGTCTACTTGATCTCACCGACATCCCATCAATTTATGAACTGCTTCATGTAAAAGAGCACGCTAATATTTGAAAATATAAACAAAAATTATTTGAAAAATAATCCTGTATATTTAAATGCTAATATGAAAAATTAATCTTTTTGTGGATCATGATTGATTGGTTGGTTGATTGATTGATTGATTGATTGATTGATTGATTGATTGATTGATTGATTGATTGATTGATTGATTGATTGATTGATTGATTGATCGTTTGTCATTTGCAAGCCAGTCAGCAGTAAAAGACGTCAAATCAGTAAATGATCATCAGCAGACGATTGTTGTTAATAAATACCAACTGATACAAAATTAAAGCTTTGTAAAGATCTAAAATACATACTAACAAATTATTTTTTTATAAATAGCAACAAATTATTTATAAATAACCACAAATTATTTATAAATAGCAACAAATTTTTTATAAACAGCAACAAATGCTATAAATAGTAATGAAAAGTTATAAATAAACATCAGCAGATAAAAATAGATTTCAAAGCATTATTCTCTAAGTTTGCGAAAAAACAACTACTTGATGTTCCATCCACCCTCGCCTTCTAACTTCTCAAATCGTGCGTCTTATAAACACACACTCACACACACACATACAAGCACGCACACATACAAGCGCGCACACACACACACATGTGAACATATTATATTAAGAAATACACAAACCTACAGTACAAATAAACACTTTATACATACATACATACATCATGTTTTGGTTTTAACATACATACATACATACATACATACATACATACATACATACATACATACATACATACATACATACATACATACATACATACATACATACATACATACAAACATTCATACACATACATATATTTTGGTCAGATATAACGAGATGACAACTGTAATAATACGAAGAAGAATAAAAAGAATATTACAATTGAACGGCTGGATCAGAATTTACTGGAGACGAGAGGATCATCGAAGAAAAGGTCGAACTCCTCAGGCAGCAGAATCACGATGTCCACCGTCTCCTCGTCCTCCTTCTCTGGAACTTTGAAGCAAACTTTCGCGCTTTGGTTCGATTTCGTCGGCGCAACGGTTCTGTGGTTGCCTGATTGCGGCTGTTGTACGGTGGTGGTGGTGGTCGTTGCTGACGATGATGGTGGGCACATGTAGTCGAAGAACATGTTGTCGATGCTGCGGCTCCTGTCCGACTCCATGACGTCGAGATGTGGGTTCGAGATTTTACGTGCGGGCAGCGTTTCGGAATGCTTTTTGGAAAGACTGTCTTTCCGCTCTTTTTTACTTTTCTTTTTACTGCCATCTTCACTGTCGCTGTCACTATCTTCTTCGGGTTTGTATAACTGAAAGTCAAAATCGTACATCGGCCAGACTTGGGCAAAATTTTTGATAACTTCGTCCAACTTACTCTTGAAACTGACCGTTCCCATTTCTATCTCTGGCTTCTCTGGCTCCATGAAGGTTCGCAGGATGAAGGGAAGAGAGCCTCCTGCCAATGCCGCCAACATCTGATTCGTGTTCGAAACTTCGTAGACATTTCCAAAAGTTAAAACAACAATGAACACAAAGACGATAAAAGTTACAATTTTAATGAATTGTTTCAAGGCCAGCAGAAGCCCTCTGTAAACCGGTCCTGGCACTCCGGCCACTTTTATTTCGCAAACGTTCTCAAATAACTTCTTAGGAATTCTCGGCATGTCTTCATTGTCAACAAAGAGGACGAGATCGTTGATGAACCAGTGGCGAGGCAGACGTTCGGAGACATCGTCAGGCATCTCGTGGTCAGCCTGCTCGTTCAACTCCTGAGCTTTGAAGCCACGATTCTCCTGCAGGTAGGAGGGCAAACTTGTAACTTTATCTAAATCTTTTATCCGTGATTTAACTTCCGTGAAAAGTGCCTTGTTCAGTTTGAGGTATTTTTTCTCGACGTTATTGAATGAATCGTAACTGTAGACGACGATCATGATGATGAGTGCAATGTACTTCAGCAGACTGCCCGCGTTCACAATTATCCCCATCATGGTGAATACTAACATATCAACCAGAGAGCCGAGGCACTCAGTAATTATGATGAGGATGGCGTAGAGGACGACGATGCAAGCCACTGAAACGAGTAGCTGCCCCAAAACACGACACGCCCTCTTGTCTTTGTCAAACGTTATAACCGTGGAAGCCAGCGAGGCACTTCGCGTTCGAGATTTTTTCAATTTGGAAGGGTTTAAATGATCGACCTCGTCAATGTCCAGGATGTCTGACATTTTTGAAGTTTGTTTCATTAGGTTTATTTTGCTGTTGTATTCGTTGCGGTTGTCAGCGCTGTCGATGTTGTTGTTCAAATCGTCTGTCACGTCTGAATCATCGTTCGTACATTTCTGGAACCATCTCTCCATGTAAAAGTTGCGCAAATTGTTGTCCGTCTTCCTGTTAACTCTGTATGCTCTGGTGATAGAGTGTGCAAGTTTGTTTCAAATCATTGTAAATTTTAAAGATATAAATGCTAAATTTTTAAATAACAAATTAAAACCAATCGGTTCGGAAAATTTTATGCAAAGTAGCAATAATTGAAATAACTTTATTTGAAATAATGCAATGCAAATATAATTTGATTTATAGTAAATAATTTTATACCTACCGTCGGCTTTTCTTAACTCTCTTCTCTCTGAAGACTTTTTTAGAATAAAAAATCATCCTGGCAGTGAGAAATAGAGTGGGCAGACAGTACATGCAGAACACGATCAAACTGAATGGAATAACGAACGGTAGATAAACTATGGACACCAAAAACCCCATAACACCAAATCTCTTGAAAGGCCAGATGATGTTCGAGACCAGCATGTGAAGAACATCCACCCATGATAAATTTTTCAAATCGGTGAATGAGCTGATGACGACTTGTTTAATCTTTCCATCTTCAGAATCTTCCGGCATGGCGACGAAACAAACCGCCAGCAGAATGTAGACCAGGTAAATGAATGCGAACAGAATATGATCGGGCAGAAAATAATGTAACAAACTGTTTTCAAATCGTTCGGTCAGCCCCAAAGTTGACAAGAGATATTTCCGAGATAATATTTCGTTGATTTCAAATTTATACAAAACCCAGAGTCTCAAGTAGTAGGGTGTCGGTAGAAGAACAACAAGTAAAATTGAGCCGATAATTTTCCAGAATGTTAACCATGAAATTGGTCGATTCCTCAGACATAATGCGTGCTTGAACATGTTCTCTCGACAGCAATCTTGAAACGGACCAACATTTCGAAGTCGGCACATGAAGATCATGTTCGAGATCGTCTTCCAGAAGCCAATGGAAACATCATTTTCTGTTACAAGCCTTTTATAATTGATGGATATGTCATACTCCTTGATCTGTATGTGCACGGGGCAGTTGAATAATGATTTCGGAAGTTCAAACGCCTCTTCTTTTTTATCAGCATCACTTTCTTCACCGTCTAATTTTTCTTTTGATTCTGATTTTACGGGCGAGATTGTTAACTTTGGAGCCTCTGGTTTCAAATTTTGACTACTTTTTAAAGAACTATTTTCTTTATTTTTCCAGAAATCATCAATTTCTTTATTAGCTAACGTTATCGAATCTTTAAATTTCGGAAACCCACGCTTATTTCGGAAGTCAAGAACGTACTTGTACTTCAATTTTTCAGGGACATCTTGATCAGAGCGACAAAGCATAACAGTTTTATTTAACTTATCATTCAGTTTGACGGTGTATGGGAATTCATCTCTCGCTAGGCCCGTCATGGCAGATAAAAAGAGCATGGGACCGAAAAAGAAGATGCAGTAGCGGACAATGCTGAGAAGCGTGTACAGAAATGTCAGCCAGGAATTTTGAGAGCTATTGATGCAAACTTTCTGACCGCTGTAGACATCTGCATAACAACAGCAGTCTGTGAACCTGGCGTATCCATTGTCATTCTCAACAATTTCGTGACAGATTCTTGCGCCATTTTGTACTACTTCTAAGTTTTTCGTTTTGTTTTCATGGTCTTTGTTCGGAGCAACATTTAAAAAGTCAACCATCGTCAGCTCGCGAATGAGTGACATTTTATCCATTTCTGGCAGTTGACCAAAACATCCGTAGGGCGAATCGTTCAACTCGACCTGAGTTTTTGTCGTTCCAAAGGTCAGGGTCATGAGTGAGAGGATGCCGTAGTTGAAAGCGAGGGAGAGGAGGGTCTGCCCATAAGTTGTCGAGGTCCGCGACCAGATGTGAGGCTTGTGGTAGAATGTGGCGTTGAAGAGGAAGGGGTTGTGCGTGTAGTTCGTGAAGTGGAAGCTGTATTCAATCAACGTTATTCGCTCCTTCTCGACCATCTGATTAACTTTTGCATTCATATACTTGTCTGTCGTTGATATTTGGCATCGGATTGGCCTGGGTAGACTGTAGAGGCATTGTGAACTTTCGTAAACTAAATGGAGTAGGTGTTGGTTGTTTGATTGGTGCTGGTTCTCACTCTGCTGATGATTTTCATCATTCGGTAGATTTCGTTCGTTTGTTATGTTGTTCGTCGTGTCACTGTTGTTTAAAATGTTTCGCTGATCATTAAAACTCATGTCATTTGTTGTATCTTTTCGGATGTGAGCAGTTGTGTTGTTGTTGTTGATGTTGTTGTTGATGTTGTTGTTGTGGTTATTAACGACATCAACTGGTGTTGTATTCATGTTATTCTGTGCTGGCTGTTGTGGCAACGTGTGGGCAACGCAGAGGAACACGCACACGATTATATAATGAAAGTTGGAAGGGTTCATTTTGTAGAAATATTCGCGGCTCTCTCTGTACAACTCTTTCGATGATGTGGAATATTTTTCGATATCTGAGAGAAATTAATTCAAACAATATTTTTCAATAAAATCAAATAAATTAAGTAAAAAAAACTCATGATGGAAAAGAATATACAGAAGAGTATGCGATCAATTAGAAATTCTTTTTAAATTCCACAAGACATCGTTATTAATTTGAAATCCCTTTCCTTTCATACAAATTCACAGACGAAAATGTTCAGAACGTATATCTGCCGTATGAAATAACAAGCAACAATCGTTTGATCAAAATTCCTATGTGCTAAGTGTTTCGATAAATGTGTGTGCGTGTTTACGCGTGTGTAAGTTAAGTAGGTGTGTGTATGTTTGTTGCCTGCAGATTGTGCAATTGAAATTTCTATATATGTTGGTTATCAATGTTTTGAGCTAATGAAATATTGAGACCTCTCATTAAGTTACTGTAATAAAAAATATTTTCAAACAGCTCACAGATGAATGCCACTTAAATTTTAAAAAATCATTTCCTCTAAATGCAGTGCGACAGTTTGAATCAAATTAGTCATCGTTAACGTTTGCAGATTACACCCAACAACGGACCTACTGCATTATTCATTCATTCGTTCGTTCGTTCGTTTGTTCGTTCGTTCATTCACTCATTTATTCACTCATTCATTCATTCGTTCATTCATAAGCACACTGAAAACACAACATAAAAGCCTGCGTCAGTCAAGAAACGTAGGTGGGGTGAGGTGAGTGGGGCATTCGAAGAATCGTTACTCTGACGTCATCATCATTTTTAAATTTCAAAGAATTTAGCCCATTATTTTCTCATATTTTCTCACATTTCACCATATTTTTTATTCAATTAAGTTGGATGTAAGTTATATTCTGAGCATTTGAAACAAGTGCAACGCAATTAAGGACCTCGCTTCACCGGTTCTGGTGGATCGCGATAAATATATACATTGAAATACACACAAGAACATTGTAAATTACACATAGACACACATACAAACACACACACATACAAACACACACACACACACACACACAGTATAGCGATGATCATTCATAAAGGTGAGTTTTATAAAATGATAGTTGCGAACTATCAATGTCTCAATGTTACATTATGCGAATGATATTATTTTATTATATTTTCAAGTGTTTTTCTTTCTTTTATTAGTGTTTTATTAACTACGTTTATGTATGTCTGTCTGTATGTGTGTCTGTCTGTGTGACAGAATTTTTACTGGTACAAGATCGTGATGCTGGCTAATTAGTGCAAATAAATCTTTTTGTTGCTGTTATTGTTGCTACTGAAGATGGTTTTGTTGTTGTTGATGATGATGATGATGATGATAGTGATGTTTTTTGATGTTGTTGTTGTTTTTTTTGCTTAATTACCTTATGTTGAAAAAATAAAATGATGAAAAATATTTCTACCTGTCAAACAATAAGCCTGGGTGTGCAGTTAAGAAAGCTTTCACCTCAAATGGATGTCTTTGTTTGTATGTTTTATCGTAGCCAACATCAACAAAATAATGTTGTTGTTGTTGATGTTGTTGTTGTTGATGTTGTTGTTGATGTTGTTGTTGATAATGTTGTTGTTGATAATGTTGTTGTTGATAATGTTGTTGTTGTTGCCTAATACCTGTTGTTTCTTCTTTTTTGGTACCTATTGGTTCTTTTGGGGCACCTTTTAGTTCCTTTCGCTTATTTTATTTCCGATGTTTTAGCTAGGTAATTGTTTACTGTTTACTTTGTTTCCGTCGCCGTTCAGAGTTTGGCTGATTGACGTTGTTGTTGTTGCTGCGGTTGAATATGTTGTTATTGATGTTGTTTCTTGTTGTTGATGATGTTGTTTCTAGCTGCAGATGTTGTTGTTGATGTTGTTGAAACATCCGTCTTGGAATATACTTTTAAAGAATGATGGCACGGCGTCGTTGTATTTGATATTGCTAAAAAAACGAACAACCCAAAAGATTGATTGCTTTTATCAATGAAAGTATGAATATATGAATTAATTATTTAAATTGAAAATGAATTAAATTAAATCGTAGCTAACAATTGATTCATATTTTTAACAGTAAATTGATACAGAAAAATTATACACGCGCATATTATAATGAAAATGTACCGTTGTACAGCCAGTAAATGTGTTTGTGTGTTCGAGTATTTATTGCAGTGGTAGCAGTAGTAAGAGAATACTTCATTATTTATTCAACATTGTTAAGTTCTTAAGTACGTCTGTGTGTGTTTGTTTGTGTGTGTGTGTCTGTCTGTGCCGGTGATGTTGCTACTACTGCTACTACTACTGCCACTGCTACTTCTACTACTACTGCAGCTACTAATACTACTGCTACTGCTGATGTTGTTTCGTTTGATACACCTTCATGCACATTTCGAAAGACAAATAAATTTCTTCTTTTTAAAATCTAATCCTCCTCAATATTTGCTTTGGAAATAAAAATTTCACTTTTCTAAAGAACCAAGAAAAGTTTAATATTAAACACACACACACACACACACACACACACACACACACACACACACACACACACACACACACACACACAAGTAACGGCGATGACTCCAGTTGTGATGATATTAAGATTGTGTAGATCACATAACTAGAATAAATATAAGGGCCTTCGCTCACTTTTAACGGCCGAACAAAGAGCTTACTTTCGGAGGGGAGTTGGAGGGTGATTTTTTATCGTTCGAGTCAAAAGTTACGATCAAATATTTACTAATTTCGGAATATTGCTTTTATTTAAAATGTTAAAATTTTATTTTTTTAAAATTGTTATTCAATGTGGTAATTAATTACTTTTATTTGGTAAAAATTTTAAAGAATAAAATCGACATTACCGAAAATAATTAAAAGTGAAAAAGATTGAGGTTCTTTGCAAATCCTTGCTCCAACCCATAAGAAAGTGTTGTATATTGGTAAATAGGCCTCCCCTAATCGATCAATTCGGCCAATCGGCTATTTGACATGCTTGGATTGTTGGCTTACGAAATTGCATGGATTTTAATGGGCAAGCTATATGAAATATTTACTTAATATGCTTAAAACAGTGTAGTAATTCTATTTAATTTTATTTAATGGAATTATGTATTATTAAATTATTTTTGTTAATTTGAATAAAAAAAATTACTTTTGGTCAGGTGAAATCCGGTGGCTTGCTGAAGCCGAAGGTTGGCTTTCTAGGATTGAACTATAGTCACCCTTTTTTTTACACTATCGATCATGTTAAAAATTTGTTTGAACAACAATCTTCATTATATTCAATGAATATTTTACAGTCAGTCAGTCAATCAACCAACCATCCAATAAACCAATCGACCAATCAATGAACCATATTTGAAAAATATTTGCAAGGCTTGTTGTTCAAACTCGAACAAACACTTAACTGTCAGATCTACAAACAATTTTGAGATTTTAGTAAAGAAAGAAAAACACAATAGTTGTTTTTATTAAATCAAGAAATATCCAAAAATTATATATAATTAAATTATAAAAAACTAGAACCCAGTCAACATTTAATAAATAAATAGACATTATTAAAAACATTGTTCAAAGGTAAAATTCAAGGCGACGACGAGAATGAAATGTAGTTTGTTTTGTTAGTGTGGTGCTGTGTAGCGAAAACAAACAAACACGTCACACAAAACTAGTAAGAAGTGGCAAGAACAGTAGTCAGTCACCTACCTACAATTAAATTACTCTCAGGGCCCTAGCTTACTTATAATCATTAACTCAACTCACCTACAAATTTGTATTTCCACGTTTTAGGAATGTTACATGTTTCCGGTATTTAATTTAACATATTTTAGCGTTTTTATTTTACTTGAAACTTTTTAACTAACGTTAAGCCCTAGCCTACCTACGATTGTTCAACTCATCTCAATCCCTAACTTACCAACGAATTAAATAAATAAATTTTATAAACGAATTAAGTCCGGTAAAAATAGAAAGTTGAAGAGAAACATAACGACGACACCGAATGAATGGATGTTGTGTATGTGTGTGTTGTATTGAAGTGTGTGTGTGTGTGTGTGTGTGTGTGTGTGTGTGTGTGTGTGTGTGTGTGTGTGTGTGTGTGTGTGTGTGTGTAAATGTGGTGCGCGCGAGTGTACTCAGAAACTTCTTCACTCTCTAAGGACGAACCTCCATTGTACCGACCATCATCTGAGACCTATCGAATAGTCTTTATTGTATGTATTACGTTTGTATCATGTTTGTATCATGTTTGTTTTTGTATTGTATGCGTACTGCTTGTGTGTGCGCACAAACCAAAAACAGTCTCTTAACATGAAAAGGAGATGATACAAAGTTACCTACCTATCGTCATTATATTCTTATAAACTTTAATTCCAGCCATGGCTTGCCTCTGTTCTCTCAACTCAGAACTCACCTACCCACATTCAATCAACTCAATCCTTAGCTTACGTATTGTTTAACACTGCTCATTTTACAATTTATATTTGTGATTTTATGTTAACAAAGTAAGAAAAGTTAAGAAGAATAGACAAATTACAACAATATAACAGCTAACGCATGCATGTATATGTGTATGTGCGTATGTGTGTTTGTACGTTCGCACGTATGTTTTTAACTTATGTGCTTGGTAAAAGACCATAATTAATGCAGTAATCTATCAAATCTACCAAATTTCTAGCGTTGGATAGTTTTTTTACTACATTTCTAAATATTTCTATCCAACGCTAGAAACTCGGTAGATTTCAAAAATTACTGTTTTAACCATGTACGTATGTGCTTGTATTTCGTGTATGTGTGTACGTTTTAATTTATTATAGAACTTTTTTAATAAAAAAACCTAAAAAATCTGAAAATGAAAAAGCGCATCTCACGAACGGCATTTAGTGAGAAGCCCCCTCGCCACGTCAAGGCAGCCGTTCATGAGGGGGTTAATAATAAGTGCACGCGTCTCAAATTAGTTATATATATAATCCTATCTACCTATTCAGGTGCATTAGCTAATAACGTCTAAGCCTCAACTTACCTATTCATTACAATTAAGCCCTAGCTTACCTAAAATTACAAAACTCAAGAGCCCAATTCATTCGCCAATCGGCCCCACCCCACCACCTACATAATGCCTTGGGCTCCAACCTAGTAATAATAATGTAAAACTTAGACCCTAAATCTACTAATGAGTGTGTGTTACAACGTAGCCTTAACCTACCTATTCATTACATTACGGTCCTAGCTTACCTAAAATTACAAAACTCAAGAGCCCAATTCATTCGCCAATCGGCCCCACCCCACCACCTACATAATGCCTTGGGCTCCAACCTAGTAATAATAATGTAAAACTTATAATTAACCTACCTATCGATACACTTACAGCGTTTTAATTTACATTACAAGATTGTTCCTAGAATTACATTATTGCCCTTAACTACCTATGAAATTAAATTACTCTCAACCTTAGTAATAATAAATTAGAATGTGTAATGAAAATAAAATTACTCTCAAATACTAACATATGTGTTTATGTATGTATGCGTGTGCGTGTAATAACGCTGATGCGTGTAATGTTGGTGCAAGAAAAAATAGAAGCGATAAACTTACGCGCCTACCTATTCAACTACATTAGTGTTGGATGCTTCCTATCTATCCTACCTACAATTAAAATTACGCCTATCTAACCTACCTATGTAGCTACCTAATGTAATGTGTGTGTTTGAGTAGGTGTGCTAAATGACGCATCTTAAATAAATAAAAATAAAAATGGTAAAATAGAAAGAAAGATTAAGTCGTAGAGATTAAGACCTGTATGAATAAAAATATATTCAACAATCAATAAATAAAAATCCCACTAAAACCAGGAACCACCGCGTACCTGTTGAATGTAATGTATGGTGTTAAACAAAACAAAAACAAAACAAAAAATACATCACCAAATAGAGTAATAGAATAGAAGTCCCTAACCTACCTATGTAGCTAAATTACCTTATGTCCTAGCCTACCTATATAATAAATTAATTTTTTATCTCACCTACCTATGTCATTAACTTAACTAAAACTTACGAAGAAAGAGAAAAAAGAGTAAAACAGAACATAAAATACTACCACACAAACAAACACGATGTATGTATGTATGCATGAGCAACCGCTAAAGAACCCACCTAAAAAATATATAATACAAACCACAGACAAACACACAAATCAGACAAACATACAAAACCACATACAAACATAACTCTATATAACTCTATATAGCCGCGAAACTCTATATAACTCTATATAGCCGCGAAACTCTATATAACTCTATATAGCCGCGAAACTCTATATAACTCTATATAGCCGCGAAACTCTATATAACTCTATATAGCCGCGAAACTCTATATAACTCTATATAGCCGCGAAACTCTATATAACTCTATATAGCCGCGAAACTCTATATAACTCTATATAGCCGCGAAACTCTATATAACTCTATATAGCCGCGAAACTCTATATAGCCGCGAAACTCTATATAACTCTATATAGCCGCGAAACTCTATATAACTCTATATAGCCGCGAAACTCTATATAACTCTATATAGCCGCGCAACTCTATATAAAAAAAAAATAAATAATTATAAAAATAAAATAAATGAGATCAGACAGACTGCTTCAAGCGAAGCAGAATGCCTGATCTGATTTTCATGTTGTCTCAGCTCCTATTTATACTCGTTTCAACCATACATTTTAATCATTTCAATCATTCACATCAGCAAAAAACTTATTTAATGTATGTACTACACTATTAAACAGTCTTAACCACAATGCCAACCTTACTAAATTGACGTCATCGAACGAACGCCTTCGAAACTTTCTGATTGGCTGGTTGAATCTGCTATATTGCTTTTTTTTATATAAACATATAATGTTATTAATTATTTGTATACATGGATTCTAGTTACTTCGGAGAGAATTCAAAATAGTTTGAGACCACACCTTGCTTAACATCCGATTCCAAGCCGAGCCAAGCCAAGCCGAGCCAAACCAAACCAAGCCAAGCCAAGCTGGGCCAATATGCGTGGATTTATAAACGCTTTTATATTAAAATTTTGCTCGCTTTATATACGAATATCCACATATAACAAATTCTCCATCCTATTTTAAAAATTTTCTTTAATGCTTTTTAATCAGTCAAAAATCATCATCGATATCGCGATGAAATTAAATTGAATTTTTTAAAAATTGTTTATAAAATTTACTAGTATATAGTAAAAAGTTTAAATTTTTCTGAGAGAATTCAAAATAATTTGAGACTACACCATAACACAATTGTACAATTTGAATGTGTAAATACAACATTATAAATGTATTATTACTACGTATATATATCTATCTATTTCTTTATTTAGTTCTGCCTGCGTATGATATTTGGTCAAATTTATATGATAGGAATTGAATGTAACTTTTATACCGGCGGATTAACTACTATGCAGTAAAATAACTACTGTTAACATGACGTCATTTCCTCCAACGATTTCGCAACGAATTACTCATCCTATTTAATAAATTTTATTTGATGTTTTTTAATTAGTCAGGTCACAATCATCATCATCGATATCGCAATGAAATCAAATTGAGAATTTTTTAAATTTTTGAATTTTCGATTTAATTACTAAATGGTTTTAAACATAATAAGTATAATAAGTCAAGTAAATATTTCCCATGCAATTTCGTGAGTAAGCCAATTAGCCAACAATCCAACAAAGTCGATTAGTTCGAGCCGGTTGACAACTGTAAGCAAAATTTGAAAAGTGTAGAAAAATGTGAAAGAAGTAAATTGAAATTAAATAAATAGAATGTCCTTGGGAGGTGAAATTTTAAACTTTTCAAATATTCAAGTTCTTATCTCTAACTGTCGCTTTAATAGTTTAATCATACTTACAACATGCCACAATTCATATCTATTTCTTATATATATCTCATTGTTATTTGGGTTGGGCCCACCAGTTGAATTCAGAAATTGGGCTATTCTATATAAATTTGATTGATTGATTGATTGATTGATTCTGTCATTCAAAAATCAAAATCCTAATTGAAGGTTGTCCAGCGGGATTTGAATCAAGTGATGATGAGGATGAAGAATTTCTGGCATTCAATCAGGTAGGTGCAGATGAGGATAATCCAGATGACTTCCACATTAAAAACAGAAATTATTTTAGGGACAATTTGAAACATGGTGAATGGAAATTCAACAATAAAAAGAAAAATGATTTTGCTCCAATGTCAGATTTGATGACAAATAAATTTCTTTGGACCAAAAACTCATTCACTAAACGTTGTGTAGATGGTAACAGCCAATCAAATTTAAACTTCAACCACACACCAACCAGCATAAACCAAATAATAAATGACCAACACAACATTCATGAGGTAAATTCTTTTAATCCCACCCCCAAACCTTGCAAACACCTTTCTGATATAATTAGTGAGAACATTGCAAATATGGACCAGAGACTTCCTCTGTTTGATCCTCTTCGGAGACCCAGCAATTCAGACTCGTACTGGTTTGAGGTGCTTGTCGAGTTGTTCAAAGATAACAGAAATAATCAAGCTCTCATGAATACAGAGATGTCAAAATGCTGGAAAATTGTTCCCAATCCATTCTCCACTACCGTCTACTTTATCAATAAGTCGTCTCTCTTGCCTATTAGTTAGACCTGCTTTAATTTTTATATTTATAATCAGTAATAAATGGTCAGTAATTTAATGTATATCAAAGTTAAAATTCTCATTATATTATATGAAAATGCTTTTAAAATTTTGTAATTAATTTGAACACCATTAGTAAACATCATGCAAATTTCACAAAAGATCAAAGAGTAAAGTTCATGAACATGGTCATGAGGTCTCTCGAATCATGGAAGACAAAAACAAAAGAAATATTGAGAGACAGTCTGCCAGGGTCTGTCAATCAACCATCTCAACCTACCATCGCTATCACTCCATCGGCCCCTGTCAATTTAGAATCTTTGTTATCAAAGGAGATTAAATTAAGTGCTATAAGAACTGTCACCAGCCATGCAGTTCTGCCTGATTTCCAACTTTTCTCTTCCTGTTTTGAACTTGGGGAAGAGGACAACCCAGAGTTTATAAATATTGTACACGGACTGATTGAAAAGCATGAATATATTAAGGTTGTTGTTGATTGCATTTGGTGGTGTGGTTATTGTTGTTGTGTGTGGGGTTATTTTGTTTTTATGAATTATAACAAATGTATGGTACAAATTATGTAGCAACTTGTTAATTTGTTGATGCAGGCTTCCAGGTGCATCACTGCTTTACATCTTCATCAGTATTTTCAATGCAATGTGGTTTGTATCTCGTTCTCTATGTTTGCTTACATGCTTATTGTTTTTGTTCAATTTCATTTATATGCGTTCTTGCTTTTCATCCTCATCCTCTTCAACCTCCTCTTCAGATATGTCTGTCCCTGTTGAGCCAGGGCCACATTGCAGAGCTGGAGAGGTACTTGCACGACCAGCCTGGCCAGCAGGTTGAATTCCTTCAAACCATCGACAACTTCCTACACAAGCCCACTCTCATTGATCAGTATTTGGGGTTCGTTCGTTTGTTTGTTTGTGTCAGTGTTAGTGTTAGTAGGAGGAGCTGTTCAAATGTTGTACTCTGTACCGCTAATAACGATTGTCATCCTCATATATTACTTCTTCATCCTCCTATGACCATGTTTATCATGAAGTTAATAGAATAAACTTACATACATACACAGATGTGCGTACGTAAATGCATACACATACACACAAACATGCATACAAGTTGTGCTAAGAAGATCTGAACTTTTTGCTGAAATGTCTATAGAAGAATTAAAAACATATTCGCTTTCCTTCAGTTGAGCAGTTGTTGTTTTTTATTTTCTTATTTGTTTTTCTACTTGCATACTGTTTTTGTTTAATTGTGAGCTCTGTTGAGAGATTTTAATTAGCACTCTTTGTAAATTAACTTTAATCATAATAAAAACAATACAAACGAACGAACAAACAGGTCAACAGATGTGCCTAGATTAAAAAGAGATAATTTAAGTCAAAAATCACTCTACAAACTTGGAGTCAGATTGCAAAAACTTTATAAGGCTGATGAAAGTTCGTCTATCCGTATATATGTGTGTTTGGATGTGTACAGTGCCGGCTCAAGGTTTTATTGCCGCCCGAGGCAAGATCCCAGTTTGTCGACCTAACCTAAAAGCACCACCATATTAAAAAATATCTTAAAGTAGAACTATGAGTGACGTACAAACACAAAAAGCCAGCAAAATACATACAAAATGGGCATTTTTTAACGTGACTTAGGGAAAGAAGTTTACTTTCCTACTCTTTTCAGATGCAAAAGATAATTAATAAAAAACATTGTTACACGTTAATAATTGTGATAATAAACTGTGAAAATAAATGTGTTCCGGTAGCCATTTTTTTGTATTGCGTTAACGCTAACTTTTGACGTGTGTGGATCTGCCGGAAGTGGTAGACGCGTGCGTCTGATTATGTTCAAACTTCACAGAGTTACTAATTGTCTGCCATATTGATTGAAAAAATAATTAAAATACGTTAATTCTTGGTGGTGACCTGATGAGGCTAGGAAAGAGCCGCCCGAGCCAGCTGCCTCTCTTGCCTGTGCCTAGAGCCGGCACTGGATGTGTATTTGTATAGCCTTTGAGTGTGTGTTCGTTTTTGTAACATGACGTAACAAATATTATAGTGTGGGTGCTGTAGAATGCTTTGTGTGAGAAGCACTCATTCATTATAACCAATACATGTTGCTTGTGTTTGTATGTTTTGCGTCTGTCTGTCTGTCTGCGAGGTTGATGGGAAGCAGTATAAATTATGATGAAGAAAAAGTAAATATTGGTACTGATACGATGGTGAAGACGATGGATGGTGGTAGATGTGAGTGAAGGTGTTGGTGATAGTAATGAGATGACGACATCAACTCAGAAACATGTCCTCACATTTCCTTCGTCCAGACATGCAAGAGCATCAAGTACCTCATAGTTAAGAGGTTTCTGCTGGTACGAACATGCATCATTTTGATCACCGCCTTTTAATCATATCATTTCCATCACGTACCCTTTGTGGCATTTTATAGTTGCTTTATTCCGCTTCATTTTGTTATAATATTGTCAATAGCTGTCGTTATTATAGACAATATAACGTTTCATTGTGACTTAGTGTTTTATTCTTACTGCTTATAATAATAACGATATTATTGTTGATATTTTTATCGTTGCACATGATCTAGAACGAGATGGAGTGCTCTGAATGGGAAGAGCTGGTTCTGGTGAGTAGATGAATCCGTTATGCCATCATCGTCGTCATCATCATTTATATCCTCTTCATTACTGTCATCATCATAACAGCAACAACATCACAACAATCACATCAACAATCTCATGATAATGATGATGCAGGCTTCAGCAGGTACAAATACAGAACTCCAGTTATTTCTAATCAACCAGTTAATTGATCAGTATGAAATAAGCACGGCTGTTAAGATGGCTACCGTTCTGAACATGAACCCTAAGCTCCTCCCACATCAAATTGCTGACGATGTAGCTGTTGCTCTTTCAAAGTTAGTTGATTGCTTGCTTGCTTGCTTGATTGATTGATCACACTGACTACTTCTTCTAAAGAAAGGAGCACGAAACATCGATCTGTCCCCCTGCAGTTGAGACGGAAAGTTTCATGAAAAATTTTCATCATTTGAGCATTCCTAGGTCTGCCATTGTGTGGGTGGACGATGCTAATATGCTGGATGAGTGCCTTAAGAAGTTGAAGGTTGTCGTGGTTTGCATTATTATATTGTTCAGTGCTTATTATATCGGCAACCTAAACGTGTGTTGTTGGTGCTTAACATAAGCGCAACATGAGCGCTGAAAACAACAAAACAAAATGCACGATCAAAACAGAATGAAGTTGTTGTCGGGTTTGATACCGAGTGGAGGCCGACATTTGGTTCATCAACATATAACACCAAGTCTGTTGTTACCTTATTACTCTTGCACCTACCCTGCATAATTACTGAACAAATCTTAATTCATTAACTGCATTCGAAAGACACAAACATGTTATTGAACGACAGAATCTCGTTGGTTCAGCTGTCAACTCGAACGCACGTGTACCTCCTGGACGTCTTCAACCTCCTGCCGACCGTCACTGAACATGCCTGGAGCGACTTCTTCGTCGACGTCTTCACTAATGAGAACAGGCTTATTGTCGGTTAGTTAGTCGTTTAGGGGGATGGTCGTGTTGATGGAGTGCGGTAATTAGGAAGGTTCAACATGATAATGAGAATGCGTTGGTGAAAATTGATGATGAAAGGGGGATCGAGATGATGATGAATGATAAAAACAAGGTACCACACCCAAAAAAAAACCCTGCCGCCTGAAGTTTATTCCCTACGGTGAAGACTTGAGCAGGTGATGAAAGCCCTCCCCGTTCCTCAAACAGCACGTCATGCATTTCAATTCCTCGATCTCGGAGGAGTCCCAGTTCAAAGTTAGTTTTTCTTTTCTCTCCTGTCTGTCTGCTTGTCTGTCTGCTTGTCTGCCGTCGGGTGGGTGTGTTTTTATTTTTATATTGAGACAATTTTGGCTTGTTATTACAATAATTTGTACCTAAAAATAATTACAAATCTAGCTATCTATCTATTTATCTATCTAGCTATCTATCTATCTATCTATTTATCTATCTATCTATTTATCTATCTAGTTGCAGGAAGAATCACTGATGATAGATGGATGGAAAAAGGATGAGAGGGGATTGAGTGACTTGGTGACCAGGTGCCTCGGTCGACCCCTCAACAAGATACAACAGATATCAGACTGGCAACGGAGGCCACTGAGAGAACAACAGATCATATATGCTGGTCTCTTTGCTGTTGTTGTTATTGATGTTGTTGTTGATGTTGTTGTTATTATCATTATTTTACAAATTCAGCGTTGGATGCTTATTGTCTGTTGGAGTTGTACGACGTGCTGCAGTTGAACAACAGCTCGATGATGGGGGAGATGATGACCGAGAGAGGGGCTACCGTCAAGATGGATCGGAGGTCCCCCAAGGTTAGTAGAAGAATGAGTGAGTGAGTGAATGAGTGAGTGAGTGCGTGATGTGAAGGTGGTGAGGATGGAGGTAGTTTGGAAGGGGATATAAAGTAAAAATATCGTCGGTAGATTCTTAGTTTGGTGCCTGCCATCAAGCATCTAACGCATGTTGCATGTACGCGTACGTACTTACATACAAACATACATGCATGCTTACATACATACATACATACATACATACATACATACATACATACATACATACATACATACATACATACATACATACACACACACATACATACATGCATGCATACATACATACATACATACATACATACATACATACATACATACATACATACATACATACATGCATACACACACACACACACACACACACACACACACATACATACATACATACATACAAACATACATGCAAGCTTACATACATACATACATACATACATACATACATACATACATACATACATACATACATACATACATACATAAATACATACATACATACATACATACATAAATAATTGAACAGTACCAAAGCAAGGTGAAATTAGTAAGTGACAAGCAGGCCCTTAGAAAAGAAGAAATCATTAGATATACATTATTAAACAGGTTTGCCGGCAAAATTTTGTTTCATTACAATATAAGTAAATAAAATTTTAAGTAATTTTAAGTAAATATTTACAAGTAAATATATTTACAAGTAAATGTGCTCTGAAAGGGTTCCATCATCAGCGTTGAAGTTTGTATGTGATTCCATGTTGATTGGACTTGGGAAGGAGATGAGGATGTGTGGGATAGATACGTACATCATTGAGGCTGACGACCCACACGAGATGGCCGCTAACGTGGGTGGATGATGCGTTGGTGTGCTGATATATGTGTACGAATACGAGCATTTGTGGCCATGATCATAGATAGATACATGCACTGCACACATACATATGTACGTACATACCGCAGATCGCAAAAGAGGAGATGAGAATCCTGTTGAGTTCAGGACTTGCTTGTGTCTTAGTAAGTTGCATACATTACATTTGTTTGTTTGTTTGTTTGTTTGTTTGTTTGTTTGTTTGTTTGTTTGTTTGTTTGTTTGTTTGTTTGTTTGTTTGTTTGTTATGTAATATAATATTTGTATTAATTTATTTGTCTGCATGGTGGTTGATGTCTGGGAACGTGTCATATGATATTTGCAAACATGTTGGTTGGTAGTTGAAAACATGATGAATAAATGTTGATTGGATTGCTGTTCATAAATGTGACTGAACAGATGACGAGTAACATGAAAGCAGATCGATTTTATTGCGTGGAGTCGAGGATCATACACGAACAACTGCATGAAATTTTGGATAAGTTCAATATAAAAGTCACTGAAGATGACATGTCATCGAGATGCCAGGTTCATTTCTCTTTCTTATTTACTGCTTTCATTCCTTGTTAACATTGTTTCCTTCTTTTTAATATTTATTCTTTGAACTCTTCAAGCTCACTTCTTCTTTATTTTCATTGTTCTCGTTATTTATTTGTTTTTTTTCTCTCTCTCTCTCCTTCATTCAGATGTGCAACCACAACAAATTCCTGAAGATCAGTCAGACGGAGATGAAGTTTCTGTGGTTGCTAAAGAGGTTGATGTTGGACCTGCAGGTTCCTCACGAGTTCAGGAACGTCAACGAACAGCAGATTCTTGACGTCCTCGACAAGCCACTGTCCTTCTCGGTGGTCGATGACGTCAGCATGAGCAGCCACGAGAGCGACTCCAGTATGATGGAAGTTTACACTTTCAAGTCCACACATACGACTGACTCGCCGACCAAGATGAGAGCCTCGATCAGGAGTCGGGATTTCAAACCGGAAGATAACATAACAAAAAATGTTAAAGGCAGTTCCGCTGTGATCTACGCCAAGTTGAGCAACCAGAAAACTGTAAATGCCATCATGGGGATTAGTGATGCGAAGAGGAAGTTGAAGAAGAAGAAATCTTCGGAAGCAGCGGTGGCTGCAGCGGCTAATGAAAGGAAACTGAGTCCTGCTTCCATAACATCCAGGCAGGAGATGCTGGAAAATTTTAAAGGTATCAGCAAGGGCCTGGAGAATAATATGATCGATTTGAGGGAATGTGACGACCATTGTTTGCTGGATAACACTGCCATAAGCAAAGCTCATCACTCTATGAATGGTTCTGAGTTTGATGTTTCGACAAGTCATGACTATAGATTCAACGACATAGATCTAAAATCGTTCATCATCGGCAACACTCAAACGACTATTCAGTGTGAATGGCTGCCTATCAAACGATTGAATGAAGTTGAAGAGTTCCTCGTCTGCACGGGTTGTGGCAAGATTTACTGGGACAGCGTCAACAAATAAGAAATAAGTCTACAATAATAAGTAGATTTAGATGGTCATAAGAATGTTTAACGTCTTTCATTTATTATTTTAAGTTAGAAAACTGTCTCAACAAAATGCTTTTGCTAAGTTTTTTTATTTTTAAATCTGCAAGATGACCATCAATCACTCTAGAGTTATCACCAACAAACATCCAAATAAATTAAAAAGAGTGGTTCTTTTGTTTCTGTCGAATTAGAACGTCGACTCAACGGTAGTCGACTACTTCTGTTTGTGTGTGAGTGCTAGTTGGGGCCATGTCTGCTTTTAAATGCGGAGTAGCATCTCGTGTCAATATATATATATATTCTATATATTATATTCTATATATTATATTCTATATATTATATTCTATATATTATATTCTGTATATTATATTCTGTATATTATATTCTGTATATTATATTCTGTATATTTTATTCTATATATTATTCTATATATATGTGGTGGTTCGTTTGTTCATTTTGTTGTCTATGCATATGAAGTTCGAGTGTTCATTTTGATGTCTATGCGTGAAGCACCTTGGTCGCCATAGTAATTGAAAAGATTTCTGAATGTGAAAATTTTAAAAACAATTGTGTTAATGCTGTGTTAGGAATAATTGAAAAATATAAAAATTACACATGTCTGCAACGAGATATCTTCTCAACGAGGAATTAGCTTCAAACCACAAAATAGTTCCGCAATTTCGCTTACGTAAGTTATAGAAATAGAATCTATTTAATTAATAGATCATTAATTAATACTATTAATTAATTTAATAGTAAATAATAGTTCATTACACTGTACTGTGGTGTTCTTAAAACTTGTCTTAAATATTTGATTAACAGTTTAATTAACTAATTAATCAATTAGTGCTTATTTTCTTTCTATTAATCACCTTGAAAGTAAACAAAACTTTTTTACCATTTTTTAATTAGTTTTAAATAATGGTAACATTTTGCTCAATATGCTGTGTTGTATGAATCTAAGAATGTTTTTCACATGGCATGGTAGGAAATAAATGTCAAGAAATAATGTTACATTTTGAACTGACTGATTGACTGATTGATTGCTTGGGAATGAACAGAACTACATTTTGAACACTCAAATTATTGAAGCAATTAAATTTTAATATCTTCTGCCATTCTGCAGAAATAGCAAAACCCAACATTTTCAAAGAAAATTTTAAAAAGTTAAAAGAAATTCAAAGAGAAAATAAACTGAAAAATGAATCAAAATTGCCGGTAAAAGCTATGTGGAAGTCATGTAAATATGACAATGTGGAATCTAAGCTAAAAGAATATTTAGAAGTAACCAAAAATTCTTTGTTATTGTTGGTTAATATTAATTGGTCTAATTTTCTTTATTTTAGATCTGATTTCATGAATATTTTCAGGTTAATTTTCCTTGTTCAACAGGAGAAAATAAAAATTCAAGAGTTTTTTCATCAAGACCTCCATCTAGATCTGGCAGTAGCATGAATTTAAATGTAAATTCTGAATTTTTTTTCAACTTTTTAAACTTTCAGTTCAATGTTTCAAGCATAACATATCCATGATCAGCAAGAAAAGTTTATCTAAATTTTTTTATTGCTATCTCAATCAAATATTACAATTTCAAGCTCAGCAGTGCTAGAAGCAACGTTGACTTTATAAAACTGAATGGATGTGCTGCCAAAAATTCTGTGAGGAGGTGCCCAAGTACTCCTAATTTGAAAGATTCAAGCAGAAGTTGCACACGTGTCAGTCATCAAACAGGACAAATACCTCAATAGTAACTTGACTCATTCTCATTATTTTTTTTCAATTTATCAATTTCAAGACTTGTAAGTTTTTAAAAATGAAACCAAAACTGTGAATAGAAGGAGGTGAAGAACTGTTGACATGAAAATGATACGTGTATCTGCAAGTTATAAAAATTATTGAGCTCATGTGACACTGTTTTATCATCTTATGAAATTATGATGGCTAACGTGTCTTAAGTTTTCTAGTTTGGAGAAAAATAGCTGAGCAAAAAAGCAAATTTAATCAAAAATATATATATATATAACAGATGCAATGATAAATCTTTCCTTATAAGCACAAGAAAAGATTTAGGTGTGGAGCAGTAATGTTGAGCCAAATTAACAGAAAATTGAAATTATTGAGGATCATTATTGCTAAGAGCGGGTTAAGATTTTTTCATAAAGTCTTCAATTATTGAAATCATAGAATCATCAACCTCCAAATTTGTTTATAAAACTTCAGTTTGATAGAAAGAAAAGAAGAATGGCGACAAGCTGAAGAGACAAGGAGGAGGATGAATGAAGAGAAATTAATTCCTGCTGGTCACAGACTGATGTCCGAAGATGAACGCATCTCCACACTCCAACAGACCACAAAAAGTTTCTATTTTTTACTTCCCTGATTCAAAAGTGTTTGTTATCCCATCATCGCCGTTACTGTCGTTACCTTATTATTATTTCCGCCGTCTCTTTGTCACTGCTTATTTTGTTGCGAATTTATTGCGTTTATCAATGGCTAGATATTAAACTTTTTGCAATTATCTAGCAACCATCCATGCAATGCTGTATTAACACAACTACTCACCGACCGCAGCAACCTTAACACTGATCACTTGCTGGATTTTTCTTGTAAATTCATACAAAAACGTAGACGAATGTCGTTTAATGACGGAAATGCGAACCGCATTCAACAAAATTCGCATAATTACTACTTGCTGAAGCATGTTCCACGACGGGTAAATGAATCAGCAATCTAATTACAATTTCCTTGGATGAATTCTTGTTGAGCACTCGAACCATTTAAACATCTTCAATACTTTCCAGGGAGGGAAGACATCGTCCAGCAACTGTCGCACCTGCCGCTGAGGAACGACACAATGAAGTTGCAAAAACTGAGGGAGGACTTGGAACAGAAGCTGGCGAAGTTGGACGACGCCGTCAGAATATTTTCCAGAAGTAAAGTTTTTGTAAGGATGGATAGATGACAGACAGTTCACGCGGTGCCAAAGTTTCGATTTTTTTATATAAAAGAACGAACATTTAAACGATTTAATTGAAAATGTACAACACAGAAACGCAATTTTAATACTAATAGAAAAAAAACTAACAGACAAACATCTGACCGAACAAATAATTCACCATAATTTCAAAGTAAATATAACCGCAATGAATGATAAAAACGTTTAATTTTCTGTTTAAAGTATAAAGTGTTTTTGGGTAGTTGTTAGTGTGTTTAAGCGATATTCAAACCCAGATGTCACACATACATCAGTCACTGAAGTCACTTATCATCTGTGTACTTGATTGGAATCAATCTTTCAGATGGTTTGAGGTGAGGGGCAGGTGCTTCAATGGTCAACACGCCATCCTTTGTTATCGTTGGCCTGATCTGATCTGCCTTTACACCATCAGGAAGGGAATACTGGCGAACATATAAACGATGGGACTCTCCAGCCTCATTCTTTGTGTCACTCCTTGCATGAACCTGCACAATTTAACATTCACACAATGAATGCTCTTTACATTTTACAAATTTAAGCCTTGTTAGCGAACTACATTAATACGTTCACTTCACTATGCTGCAATTAGTAATATAAGCAATCACATTAGACTTAAGAGCCTCACTTACCTGTAGAATATTGTTCCCAAGAACCTTGACCTTCACTTCTTCAGGCTTGAAGCCATGAACATTGAAGTCCAACTTGAGTTTAGTTTCACCCTTCTCCTCAATAATCGGAGTTGTTGGTTTGATTTCAGAGATGGCTTGACCTTCAGGTTCATAGGGAAGAAGTTGAAACATTTGATTTCGCATTTGAGACATTTGTTGGTCCATGTGTTCCTGCATGGACATCATCTGCTGCTCCATTGACTGAAAGAGGCATTTACATTTACAATTTCAAGTTTAACAAAATGAATTTAAAATAAACAAACTTATTTGACTTTTAAAAATTAATTAAATTAGTAAAAAAAACCAATTCAGAAAGTCAAAAGTGCAATAAAAACAAATTTATTACCAAGAACTCATTTTCCATATGCGACCTGAAGTTGTCGAAGAAGTTGAAGTCTCTTCTCACCACTGGGAAGAATGTTTCGAGCAACGACATTCTGAAAAATCAAAATGTAATCGATGAAGATCAAAATACAACACAACATACACGCCAACATGGCGATCACGACACATCAGATTCAGAGCAGACGACTACGACACCAGTTGTTAACAGTTAAATGAAAAACAAAACGCAAAAACGACAAATTACAATATTTAAAATCTGCAAGATGTTTGCAAATTTAACGTGAACACTAACTTTTTATTAACCAGTAGGCTAGACGAACAACAAACTAGAAGCTGAATTCGCAATTTGATAAAGACTCGAAAAACGACGCCGGAAAATTTGAGAACAAGTTCAACGATTTGAAGTCCGTGCACGAAGCATATATACAGTTTTGTGGGCTATAGAATCCTCTAGAAATTTCCTGAATGGTGCGTATTATTCTAAAAATAGTAACTAATTATAATAATTTATGCAACCTTTTGCTGGTTGTAAGTTTTTATTGGTCGGTTTTTAAACTAATTAATATTAATGTGTTATTTGATTGGATGAACTTTTTGCATGTTTATTCTGGAATTGTTGAGAAGATTCACAATCAGTTAATTTTTCTGCACAATCAGTTAACTTTCAGCATAATAGTTCATCGAATTATCATTATTGATTATTGTTATCATGGCGATAATTAGGTGATGTCAGAGTGATTGCCTGTGAAGATTTTTCCTAATTTTCATGTAAAATAGCTCTAAATAAAAATATAATTTCATGGAAAGCTACATTAGCATGACACTATGAAAGGAAATTTATTAAATTCCAACCCACAAGAAAGCACGCATAGGCAAGCAATAAGACAATATTCAACATGCAAACAAAACAGCCTTCGATCAATTAAGTTTTTTTTTAATTTTTAACATTACGATCTTGTTAGATAGATTAGTGAGTGAGTGAGAGTGCATCCACGTAGGTGCAAATATTTGTCTGCTGCCTGTTCATTGAGCTGCTATCAAAAACAAACAGATCATCATCTCAGGCATTCAGACAGACCCACCGATGTATTTTTACAACATTTCAACATGCACACATTCATAATGCATGAATTTTATGAGGACCCACATATTGTAAATAAAAATGTCAAACATTCACCTCATACGTATTGAAAAGATATACAATTGTGCTTTTTTATCAGTATCATTTGTGTACGCGTCGGTCTGCACTGCATCTTAACTACGTGTGAATGTTTGCTTAATTGAACCGTCGTTTTTTTTATAAATGTGCAATATATGCTTACAAAGAAAATGCATTCATTGTAATGTTTTGGATTTTTCAAGTTTATGACTTTAAAACGTTAAGGTACGTATGTACTTAGTTTGAAATTGTTTAAAGATTATTCCCGTTTGATGTCATCAGCAAATTAATCCCTGACGTGAATGGGATAGCTTGCATTCTCAATTCAAATATTCAACTGTTGAAATTTCGGCAATAGTAAAATCTTGCCACAATATGAGATGAGTACAATGACTTCTACCATTCTTTAGTTAGTTGATTTGATGTGTTCTTGATCAACATTGGTTGACGCTTCAACTTCACTTCATCGCCATTTAGCGGTCTCATTTCTAACCCTAACCCCGAACGAACGAACGAAAGCAGCAACTCTACTCTACCATTTCAATGCCGTTACACGTTGTTACGGTGCGCTGTTAATGTTGTTGCTGCTGTCACCGGCGTTGGAGAGGTGTAAAGCAGCATAAAGTTTATGCCTGGCCATTGGGCGCCTGAATGTTGCTCGGCACTTGAATAATGACACCTAGATGACGTAATAATTGACATTTGAGGCAAGAAGGCAGACATGTTTATACGTGGAGTGGATTAAGGGTGAGAAAGCTGAAAATGCGACTGAGCAAGTGAATTAACGCGCAATTTTGTCGCATTCGCTCGCTTTAACCTGGTTTACGATGCTTACGAGAGAGCAGTTTTTTAATTATGTAACTCTAAATAATTAATTTTCTTGGTAATATTTCAAATATTTTTATATACTTTATTGAGTTTTTGATGTTTTTGTGCCAATTAAACGACATGTGATCGTATTTATTGAAAATGCAAAGTCAGAAGAGAAGGAAATATTATGTGGTGAAGATGATGTATCGCGTGAATGGAGTGGCCACCAACCAACAAACAAACAAACCAATCAACCAACCAACAACTGGTACTTTGAACTTTTGTACGTGTGTAAAGTTGGTTGATGAAGTAGCATTAGTAGAATATTCATGTGATCATATGCTGGATATTCAGGAAAGTGCCATTCCCACGGCCATTCTCCACTTCCTCTTCCGCTCCTTTATGACCAGCTTCGTCGCACGGAGATTCCCATCTGATGGAATGAATGTATGGATGGATGGATGAATGGATGGATGGATGTGTTGTATAGATCTAATTGATCATAAATTATAAGTACTGCTTCGAGTTTGTTGTTATTATTGGTTCTCTTTGTGTTTTTGTTGTTGCTGTTTTGTTGTTCACGACTATTAATAAACAAGAAGAACAGCATCAACTGATGCTGAGAACGCCGACAACACAACACAAATAATAATAATAATAATAATAATAATGAAGATGCTTCCAATGAAGCACACACACGTGCATAAATATATAGGTAGAATAATACTGAACGCCATTTTGTGCGCCATATTTATGCACGTGACTACTTTCATCAACACGTCTGCAATTCGAGCGATTGTATTTGTTTGGTTCTCCGTCTGGGTCTGTGTGTGTGTCTGTGAGTGTGTGTGTGAGTGTGTGTCTGTGTGTGAGTGTGTGTCTGTGTGTAAGAGTGTGTGTCTGTGTGTGTGTGTGAGCATTCATGCAATGCACGTGTGTATGTAAATAGACAGTATTTAGGAATTCGCTAAGCAAATTGAAGTGTACCAACTCACCTACTTACATTGCTTGTTCATTTTTTATAAAGAAATATTTATTTTATTTACTGTTAGCAGTACGAACAATAATTTTTATTAAGGAGAATGATTGTTATTAGCATTAATAAATTTGATTATTATTTTTAATGTTGTTAGCATTGATGAACTGTTCAACATTATGAATGCTTGAAAGCACGTCTGTAACTTCAAAATTGTGATCAACATTTAATGATGGAGCAATAACGGAATGTAAATTCTTGAGTAAGAAGGAAATAAAATTATCTGGAATTTGCAACAATAATCTTATCAATGGTTCGGCGTGTATGTGCTGTGATTGTAGGGATGTGCGGTTAATCTCGAGGATCAACCAAGAAAATTATATTTCAACTCTTCCAGCTTTCACCAAGGATTTTTTTTTTACAAATTTCCATTTAATAAACAGACGAAAGCGATAGGTGATTGCGAGCGTGAATATGAGCGGTTGAGTGGAGCCCTGACCCGCACGTACATCCCATCCAGCATCCCATCACACGCACTGATATAAGATCATCGCGGAATTATTAACGTACCGCATAACCACTGCCTCCCATCTGAAATGAAGATGCCAACCAAGCATCCAGACACACCATACATGCGAATGGCAGACATAAGGAAGAAGTTAAGTTTTATACGTACGTGCGTGCGTGCGTGTGCGTGTGTGTGCGTGCGTTGGTATGAATTGAAAGTTATCGGGCCTTAAATGCCAGCAGAAGTGATCATTACTCAGCCTGTTAGAGGCAAATTAAAGCTGAACTAACTCAATTAGTTGCCTGCAGAGTGAGTGAGTGTACGAGAGAAGAAATTATTTAGTGGATGGATGGATGGATGGATGGATGGATGAAGAAAAAGATGAATAAAAAAAGAGATGAATCAATGAATGAATGGGCAGACGGGTTGATGGTTGAGCAAATGGAAAGATAGATAAATATTTTAATGAATTAATAATTTGATAAATGAATAATTATATAAGTAAAATATTGTTGAATATTTTATTTTTCACTTGGAGTGAAGTGACTCGCTGGCGAGAGTGACGAGCGTGAGACTGTCGAAGTGACGTTCAACTGTCAGGCTTAATTTATGCACGTTTTAATTATTTACCGGCGCGAAAATGATTTATCCGATGTTGGCGGAAAGTTTAAAATTTTTAAAAGTTAATCTTTTTTAATAATTTCTGAAGAAAAGCAGCAAAGTCGGGAAGTGAAAATATGAAATAAGATTTTATTGAGAAGGGAAAAGTTTTTGACAAGCGAGTAAATCCTCGTAAAATTTGAGCATCAGAGGACGTCGGCCGCTGTTGGGCGTGAAAGTGAAATTGTAATCCACGTCAGCCTCGCCAGCAAAAATTTTTTTATCATTTCACTGATTTGTTATTTCATTATTCAGTGCTGCTGTTTCTACCATCATTCTATCCGTCCGTCCATCCATCTATCCATCATTCTATTCGTCCATTCATCCATCTATCCATCATTCTATCCGTCCGTCCATTCATCCATCTATCCATCATTCTATCCACTCATCAATCATTTTAAAGTTACTTCTACTTTTTCCTCCCTTCCTTGAATTTATGACGGACCAACAATTCAGAGAACCACCAACATCTCAAACGCAAGGCCACACACGTAACTTCTATTGTTTCATCATCGCTGCCACCATCCAGTCATCATCATCACACTCACCATCTTAGCTCTGTCCTCCAAATTAACGTTGCCTCCAGCAAAATAAATTAGCAGAACAGACAAAAGTAGGGATGGACTGATTATTACCGACCGAATCGAATAATGAATGCTTCCTACTGATCGAGTTGTATAAAAAAACAACCATAATAGATTTGAATATTCAGGAAATATTTGTAGATTTATTCATTAAGGAGTTTGTGTGAGGTAACGAACCTATCAGAATATAATTACTGATTAATGATCGCATGATGAAGAGAGTGAGAATGACGATGAGGTTCTTATTGATGGTAATGCTGATGAAGTTGTTGGCGTTGACGATTGCATAGCAAACTCAAGCAATGGTGGATTTAAAAAACTTTGACGCATGGGGGCAAAAAATTTAATAATGTTTAATTTTTTACGGGAGGAGCGGAGATTTGTGGCGGAAGTGTGCCTGAAGACTTTTTGCTCATCATGTTCAATTTTTGGTCGATTTTACACATAAAACGGTCCTTTTTTTGACTTTTATTAAAAATCTGCTGACGACGGGAAGGTGGGTAGGACCCTCCGGTCCCCCTTAGATTCGCCACTGAACTCAACATACCAGCCTTGAAAATGTTCTCCTTACGATGACGAAACCCGGGCAACAGCAACTGCACGACTTTTTGCTATCCAGCATGAAATATAAAATCTCTCCAAATCATAATTTAATTTTTATTACAATTTTACTTTAAAATTGTCAGTTCATAATTTATAAGCTGTTAAAAAATGATGATTTAAATTTAAGTACGAGAGGCTTAAGTAACATATAACTAAGAATTGGATTCAAGTCATTCAATTTTCATTCATTCATTTATTCATTCTTTGGTTTGTTCATTCATCTGTTGATTAATTTATTTCTCCATTTATTCATTCATTCATTCTTTTGTTCATTCATTGACTCATTCATTCGGTAATTCATTCAATCATCCATCGGTAGATAGTTTCCATCAGAACGAGCGGCGTGCAGCATATATAAATCAAACATAAAAACGTACCCGCATTACGTTACGTCACATGCATAGAAATTCAACCTACCACCCACAACAACAAATTGACCAACCGGAAATAGATCCTTTTTGGCGGGAACGCCCTTCCTTGAAATTGAAACACGTATCTAAAGAAGGTGATGAGAGAATGGACGGCCAGGCAGGAATGTGCTAAACAGTGATGTGCTGAGCAGTGATGTGCTAGAAACGTCATAAGATGCAAAAGATAATTGATTCAATTTTATTTGCATTGAACATAACTGATTGGGTTGCAAGTATCTGCTAGACGCACGTAAAAATATTTTCATAGAAGTTGTTTCTCCTCTCTCTCTCTCTCTCTCTCTCTCTCTCTCTCTCTCTCTCTCTCTTTATTTTTTCTCTCTTCTGTTATTTTTTTACTTTTTACTTCCATCCTTCATTCTTCCTTCTTGTCGAGAACCATGACGATACGAAACAACAAAGCAAACAAACAAACAAGCAAGCAAGCAAGCAAACAAACAAACAAACAAGCAAGCAAGCAAACAAACAAACAAACAATGAATAAATGAATGAAAAAAGCGTTGATACAAAATTATTCCCACAATTAGAATGGTCTGTCATCGTTAGTGACGTAATGCTTACAAATGTTTCTTCCTAATATTTTGAAGAGACAAGATGACGTTTGCTGCTGTTGTTGTTGTAGTTGGATCGTGGATGCATGAATGCATGCATGCATGGATGAACAAATAAATGAATGGCATGCGTGGAGTGCTGCTTTAATTGCTAACTTCATTAATGAGATAATATTCTAAAAGATCAGATGAAAATAAGCTGGGGCGCACACCACACATCCCAACATCCTCCAACACGATGGATTCAATTGCACGCACGCAATCATACACACACGCACATACACGCACGCACGCACACACACACACACACACACACACACACAAGGTACCGCGAAGGTGTGCGTATATAAAGCAAGTGCGTGCTTTCCAATATTTCAACTGTGCGTCTCAACTCTCAAATTAACTTGCTCTGTTTTGTCTGCTCCCAACATTTCCATTGTTCCTCTCGATGATGACGTGTTGATGACGTGTTGATGGTGTTGTTATTGCTTTCTATGAATTAACGTTTTCAAGACTCTAATCATCATCGTTATTATTGGTGAGTTAGTTACATCGTCGTCATCTCTACAGGTAGGTTAGTATCTAAATGTACTCATTTTTCATTATAAAAATTATTACCAGAGATGCAACGAAGGTTTGCTTAAAATTTTGTCAATCGGTTTCAAATGTAGCAACTTTTGATTACTTTTTTAAACTCCAGGACGAAATTGTTGATTAAGCGGGGAAATTATTTTAGCCATCATGGCTGTTGAGACATTTGAATTTGAACATGAAATTGCATTCATTTTCAACGATGAATTGTTGAATAAACATGAATCGCTTATTGAATCGCTTATGAAGAATTTCATCAATATGAATATTTGCTAAAGAGAGAAATTAGAATGTTTGAAAATATAATTTGTAAGAAATTTCATGCAGCCAAACTAACATGAAGATGTTTCAAATTGTGAAAAACTAACTGCTCGCATGTTTCTTCATACTCCATTCCCTCACTCATTCACTCATTCACTCATTTTTTTCATTCATCATTCACTAGCGAGACAATTTTTCAAGTTTTGAATTTGAAAAAAATTTAAACTCGTGGCTGTCAAATACAATTATAAAATTTTTCAATTCGAGTTTTTTTGCAATAGCGTTTTATACAAAATTTTGAAAATGAAGTTCTTATGTAAGCAGGCAAGCAAGCAAGCAGTGAAGATCTTCTGAAGATCTTCTCTCTCAAGAGAATCGGTTGATCGGCGGAAGGTGAATGTTGTTATTAGATTTTTCTTCCACTGTGATTGATTGATTTGGTTGATGGGTTGATTTATTTGATTTCTTCAATCTATTCCTCGGGCGAAGAGTTAGTAAGAATAAATGAATGAAGTTAGTTCGGTGTCGGGTGGCTGACTGGCTGAAACATTCCACTCTTGTTCACTCGTTCATTCATATCCTTCTATGTTTCTTACAAAAGTCATCTGCACACACAAGCAGACAGAAAGAAAGAAAGAGAGAGAGAGAGAGAGATAAACACATACACAGACGGACGAGAAAATGTAAGAATTTCGTGACAAGAGAACAATTGTTTCAGTGCTTTCAATGAAAAAATGAAATTGTTTTGATGCACATACATGCATTCAACCAGCACATTTTAAATAAATTGACTCTAGGTGTGCATGAATGAATGAATCTCAATCCTAACATGTCTACATTATTCAAACCAAAAATGCCTTTTTGTTTGTTTGCTCTTGTTTGTGTGTGTGTGTTTATAAAAGCAAGAGTGTGTGTGTGAGAGTAAAGTATGATATTAACACGTTCATACATAATTTCAAAAATATGCACAATCAATCAATCAATCAATCAATCAATTTTTCATTTTCGTTTGTGTCAGTGTCTTTGTTGATTCTATTCATCAACGTTTTTGTTGTTAGTTACGTTGCAGAGCCCTGCACGGTTACAAACATTCAAACCGCAACTGCCCGCAACCCTAACCCTAACTGCAATGAAGATAATCGCGACCGCAAGAATTGAAACCGCGTTCGTAAAAACAAAAAACAAACAAACAAACAAACAAAGCAAAACTAAAGAGAACCGACAAATGAGAGAATCATTATCGGAATATTTGTGGTCCGTCCAAGTGCATTTTAACACGTTGAATCCGGAAATAACAATTGTATCGTTGTTGGTAGGTTTTCTGGCGATGATGATGATGATGTTGGTGATGATGATGATGTTGAGAATGATAACGATATTGAGAATGATGATGATGATGATGATGTTGATGGAAAAAAACGCATACCAACACACAGTCACAACAAAAATTAAAAATTGAAAAATAATTTCCAACACTAATTTCATCGATTCGCGAGGGAAGTTCAAAGGAATTTGTATTCGGTGCTGAAACTTTTAGTGTTTCATATCAGTTGATGATGTTGTTGATGATGATGTTGATGATGATGTTGATGATGATGTTGATGATGAGGATGAAGATGATGATGGTTATAACTGTGATGGTGCTATTGGCTGGGCTTATAATTTTAAAAACTTCCCGCACAGGTCAGTCAGGAAGATGGCTGTTGGGGGGGGGGCAAGTGCCATTTAATTGAACGATAATAATAATGATCTAAGAGCAATAATAATGGTATAATTATCTGGATAATTAGGAGGAATGTTGCGTGGAAGTTCGGCTGCTGAAGCGAGGCGCACGGACAGCTTGCAAAGGAGGCAGACGTGCAGGGAACTGCTGCTGCTGCATGAACTCATCCATAAAAACAACAGGTGCTCCCACCTTCCTTGCTCCAACAACAGCATCATCATTAGCAGCAGCAACAACAAGAACAACAACAACAACAACCTCATCGAGGCAAATGTGCGACAACACTTCCAAGCCAAGAACACGAACGTCAGAGTTTTATTTAATAAATATTTTGCCAAGAGATGTCGCATCTTGACTGCCATTTTGTTTTTTGTGACGTCACTAATTTGCAGGGCAGATGGCTTAATAGAGAGCGCCAAATATTTAGAAGATTCCTGTTTGGTTGGTGAGGTGAAATGTCAAAATGATGTGAACTGTAGAGTGATGCTGAAGACGATATATCAGAACTGTGATAAATCAGGTTGGTTGCTGGCTGCTTGTTGCTGATTGGCTGGTTGTTGATTGGTTTTTGGTGATTGGCTGGTTGGTTGGTGGCTGGTCGTTGATTGGTTGGCTGTCAAAGCAAATGATGAAATGAACACGAATGAGTGTGCGTGTGGATGTGAGTTAGTTGATGGACGGAGGGAATGATATGAAAATAGATAGAGAGATAATAAGATAAATAGATGGAAAGAAGGTAAATGAATGAATGAGTGAATGAATGAGTGGAATAGTAGAAGGATAAATGATATTAATGCGACCGGATTTAAATCGGCTGAACGAACTAATTGTCATTTTCTCGTTCTACCACACGGGCAATTAAAATATTTTTTTTCAATAATTTCGTACATCCCCTTAAATTTATTCACTCCCACCCACATGCCTAGCAGGCTCGCACACGAAATAACATTCGCACGCACGCACGCACGCACGCACACATGCACAGGCACGTACAGCAGTACAGAGAGGAACATACAAATACATGTAGCATGTACCGACGCCTTCAGCAAGTACAGAACGCCTCGGCGAGATTGTGGTGCATGGTAATGATGGCGGTGATGGTGATCGTCCTAATTCAAACATGCAGACGATGACACACACGCACACTTAACGACCACATTCATTCAAGACATTGTCACAAACATTCAGCCTAACCACAAGTCAGAAACATGTGCATGCACGACGTGACTTGAATGAAAGAATGAATGAACGAATAAACGTGCGAACGAACAAATGAATGAACGAACAACTTTAAAAGCAAATGGATGAACATACAAATGAAATGAACAATGAAAAAAGGATGAAAAACAAATGAAAAAATAACAAAATTAAAAAATTGTTTTAAAATTTTAATGCCTCTAATTGAATCTGCGTCTGTTGGTTCGTCTGTTTGTTTAGCGTAGAAGAAGGCGAGAATATTTTGATACGTTTTTAATATTACGTTTTAAAAGCTTTGAGGTGCCGAAAAATGACGTGTAACACTAATCGTTCGTTTACGCACACACACACACACACACACACACACACACACACACACACACACACACACACACACACACACACACACACACACAAATGCACGTTCCTATCTTACACAGGTACACAAACAATGCAAATCATCCATTTCAATCTGCTTGCTTCCTTCTCGCCAAACGAACGCCTTCTACGAAAGATTGTGTTTTTGTATTTAACATTTAATGTTTGATATTTGTTTAATAGCGAGTTTTATTGCAGTAACAAGTCAGCCAACCAACTAACCAACCAACCAACCAATCAACCAACCAACCAATCAGCCGAGTTCTGCGAACCAGGACAGCGAATGATATGCCAGCGTGTATTGGCCATTCTACAGAGCCACCCATTTTTCAAAGCTTGCAGCTGCAACGCCTACACTACCACACAAAGATTTCAAGAATGCATCAAATTGAGAAAATTTATCTTCCACAACAAGTGTGTCAGGAATTATGAAGGTTTTTTATTCATTCATTCATTCATGCATTCATTCTGGAGTATGGTGTGGTTGTCTGTCTGGCACTCGGTTAGAAAATAGCAAATTCAACACTTGGAAAGAGTTGAGAAAAGAGCGACCAGAACAGGTACTACTCCAAGCAGAGGATTAAAATACGGGGTTAGGTGAAAAATTTTGAGGTGGTTTTCACCGGTTTACGGACGCAGAAGAGGAGAGATGATATTAACTTATCAATTGCTTAATGGACTGCCGGCTGTCGATGTGAAAGCAGGCTACACACCTACCACATGGGTTCCAGAGGGGATGGTTTGAAGTTGATTGAGCGAGCTTGCAGAAAAGATGTCAGAAAATACTTCTTCACCAACAGAATAGTAAGTGGCTGGAATGGCCTACCTGAGGATCTGGTCAGACCTAACAATATTGAACTGGAAAGATGTTAATTGCTGATGTTGTTGAAGCACCCCGCCCAGAACAGCCCGTAACATACAAACCATTTGTTTCACCAACAGCTGATGCCATTCAAGACAACAACAACATCGTCATTAACAACAACATCAACAACAACAACATTAGCAGCAGCATTAACGCGAACAAGCAACAAACTTGTTATGAAGTATGGAGATCTTGTGAAGCGGACGAAGGCTGCCGGCAACTTGTTAGGAACTTCGGAGAGCACTGCAAGCAGCAGGGACCCACCGGCCAGTGCTCCTGGTTAGGACGGACGTGTCCGTCATCTCTTCTAGATTCTTTTTGTCGTCTGTTTATTATTGCAAACTCTAAGACCAGCATACTCTTTGAAGGGTCAGGGTCAACATGTTTCATATTAACCACTGAACGTTTTACATATGCATAATTTTAAATAAAAGAAATATAATATAGATTGCACGCATACCACACACACGCACACACACACACACACACACACGCACACAAACACACACATATGATCGCATAAAAATTTTACATATACATGCGTGCCGGCGTTAATTCAATCAATCAATTAAGGACTATTAAATAAGTTAATTATGCTTCGCGGCGCAATTAAATTAATGCTCCATGATTCTTTATTGTACCTTTCATGAACCTTTTAATAATAATTTATTGCATATTAACTTTAACATTAATTTATTGCTTATTAAAATTCAATACATCAAGAGGGAATTGGATGATATCGAACTAATTTTGACGACAGCCTTCTGCTTGTTTCTTAAACATCAATATCTAACTTCTTGTTCGTCACTTTAAAATCAGCATTCCAACAAATATTTAGACTTTAATTTAAAAATCAACAACATCAACAACATCATCATCAACAACAACATCAACAACATCAGGCACAAGTGTTATTCAACAACAGAACAATTGTCACAACAACACAAACAACTCTTGGAATGCTCACGTGACCAGTTGATATTTGACGTCACCAGGAGTGGGCAAGAACAGCCGTTACAAATTGTCAACAATTTTTGCATTGGTTTGTTGCTGTTAACAAAATATTAACTCTAGCAATGTATTGATTGTTCTCTTTCTAAGTTATTATTATTGAAAATTATATTTAAATAAAAGTTTACCTTAAATAAAAATATACCTCCAACAAAAGCATAAATACTACTACTTCTATTTATGCTATGCTAATATAGCAACAACCACAACAACAACTATAAATAATTCAAATAATAACAATAAGAATCGTACTAAGCGACTGATGATTGTTGTTATCCTTCCCTTCAAAGACAACCTCTACCCTTCATTGGACGCTATGTTTGCCTCACGAACGGCCCTGACCTTTAACGAACTCATCATGGCTGTTGATAGAGAGCCACTGGACGTAAATACAAGTTAGTTTTAATATGAATTTCAAATTACAAATAACATCATAATAAGTTATTAACGATGAGTTTATCGACTGAGCTTCTTCCTATCAATTAAAAATACTCTCAAACACACGGCCCCGTTCCCGCTTTACCAACATCAATCATTTGATCATTCTTTAAGCTCCTCCTCATCATCTCATCCTCCCACCCACCCTCCTAGATAGCTATCATGATTGCAGTTTGGCGTTCCACCGATGTGTCCAGTCAGCAGAGTGTAAACGTTCATTACACGATCTATACAACTCATGCCACCAACAGTATAAACAACATCAACAAAACCAGCAACTAAAATCTCACCAAGTAAGAAAACATCAACAAAAACAACAACAACAACTATCTATGCAACAATCATATGAGAAAAATTTAACGGAGAGATGTGGAGGGAGGAGTAGAGAGGATGGCTGTAGAGCCTCAGTTCGAAAATTTGTTCTAGAAACTGATCGATACTTGGTTGGTTGATTTGTTGGTTGGTTGGTTGTCTGTTGGGATTGTTTTTGAAATTTAAATTCCTAACGTGAAATAATTTTACTGATTTGTAATTAAGATAGGAAGAACGTGGGAAGTAAAATTTATAATACAACTATTGAATTTGAGAAAAACTATCATTAAAATGTTGAGGAAGAAAATGAAAGAGAAAGAGAGAGAGAGAGAGGAGAGAGAGAGAGAAGAAGGCTAAAATAAAAAGATGGAGAACAAATGAATTAAAATAAATTACTATCAATTTTAACTATGGAAACAGGCAAGCAGTCTGTTCTACTGCAGATGTCCACCCTCGCCACCACCAGCATCACAGCCACCTCCACCATCTTCACAGTTCATTCCATCTTTATTTCTCCCGTCACAGTCATCACCATTGTCATCATCATCATCGTCGTCATCATCATCATCGTCGTCATCATCATCATCGTCGTCGTACCTGTTTTCCACGGGGTCTGCGGTGAACACGTGTGGCATGGTGCGGACGTACGTCAGCAGACCGACCTGCGCGCACGGGACACCCCCGCTGCCTTCCTGCGGTCACGTCATGAAAAAATGCCTCAAGGACGACAAATGCAGGTAGGTAGGTAGGTAGGTAGGTAGGTAGGTAGGTAGGTAGGTAGGTAGGTAGGTAGGTAGCCAGGTGTGGTGCGGTCAGTATCTGCTGTATGCTCGCGTTGTCTAAAAGAATGTGCAAATGAATGAGAACAAGCGATTGAACGGACTATCGAATACAAGATGATTAAATTTTGAATGGAATCTGCCAACAGATCTCACCTGCTTGCTTTCGAAGATCATTGCATATCGAACAAATCGAATTCCAAAGAGATCAGAACGGCAATGTCATCAACAAAATCCTCAACGAGAGTAGCCACAAACAAATCGTCGTCACCACACAAACGTCATCATCGTCATTCACCATCTCCACCACCATTCAAGTGTGCCGGCATAATGCAGGAAGATAAGGAATGCTTGCACAATCTCATGAGTCTGCATGGGCACTCAGTTTTCAGTACTGGGTGTCTCTGTGCATCCAACAACAACAACGACGGTGACGATGATGAAGACGATGATGAGAAAGATGAAGGTGAGAAGGAAGATGATGATGAAGAAGATGAAGAAGATGACGAAATGTTTAAAAGTACAAACTGCATGAGAGCGAGTACTTTTATTTCTAGAATTAAAAGTTGTCATGGTTGGTTGGTCGGTCGCTCGGTTGATTGATTGGTTGGTTAATTAATTAATTAATTGGTTGGTTGATTGGTTGGTTAATTAATTAATAATTTAACTAACTAGGTTGGTTAGTTAGATGGTTAATGTTTGTATTTTTATTTTCATTCAAACTTTTATTTCGAGTTTCTCTTTAAGGTCTATTTCTATGTGTTGCTTATTGTTATACAAATTGAATGTGTGTGTGTTTGTTTGTATTATGTGTGTGTGTTTGTATGTATGCGTGTGTGAGTGTGTTTGTTTGTTTGTGTTTCATGGTTGTATGGAGGATGAAGGTTGCATGAACGTGAACAGAACAGGTTGTGAGGGAGGTGTCACGATCGGCAGTCAGTAGAGGACTGAAGAGGAGTAACATCTCAGGTCTCCATCGCCTTCTTTTTTCAATTATTATCACCCGTTATAAATTATTTGAATTATTTTCATTTATTATCATAAATTATTTTATAATACATCAGCTCGCTGCACCGATGCATTGAGTGTGAGGGCTGATGAGATAACTGGCCGCGATGACGACGACGACGACGAGTATTTCAAAGTAACAAAATAATAAATTAATTACTCCATAACTCTTGTAGGCATCAATTAAATGCTCCTTCCTTTTATTTCAAATATCAACAACGACAGTTAGAAATAATTACAACAACCGCAGGTGCACAACAACACACCATGTTATGAGGTTTGTCGTTGTCATGACAACCAAACTATGGAATGCCACGAGGTCCCCTGTTCATCGCAACTTGTCTGCCTAGTTGGAAACAAAAACATAGGTTAGTAGATCAGTTGGTTGATTGATTGGTTGGTGTGTTGGTTGGTTGGTAGGTCAGTTAGTTTGTTGACATGGTAGTTGGTTGGTGTATCGGTTGATCGGCTGGTTGGTTGGCTTGTGTATGCTTTTTATCATTTGCCGTCAAAAGTTTCAATTCTTCTTCATTATGATAAGGCAGCCATTTATAACTTGTCATCATGTGCATTTATAATTTGATTACCGATAATATTTGAATCTGTGAGCAAATGTTAGAATTTGTATGCGTGCGAATATTTGAAAGAATGAAGCTGTTAACATTGACCAACAGAGGCTGGCTCAACCATGAATGTAGACGAGAGAGGCTCATGCACGTGCTACCAATCTGAAATCATTTGTCCAAAGGCTCCTTTTAATATGGAACCTAAGGCAGGTAAGTGGGTAGATCAGATGGTAAGTTACATGATCTTGTCATAAAAGACTATTGCATGGTCACCTGGTTCAAATGCAAACAAGATTAATTTTCTATCCACTCCAAGAAGTGTATGCAGAGGGGCAAACTCTGCATGGTGCATATTTTAAAAATGCTGAAAGTGATTTGAAGGCAGCTGAAGTTGTATGATGTATAATTAAATTTAAAATTGTTCCCATCACTGAACCATCACCACATCAAATACAGGATTATTTCTGCATGTTGGTTTCAGTACGATGGAGCGAGAAAAGTTGGAAAACATTCTTTCGAAAAAGTTGATGCATTCGAACCAGAGACTCTCGCGCAAGATGAACAAACTTCTTCAACAATTCAATCCCAACACTGAAATGGTTTGTTATAATTTTAAAATAACTAATTTACTAATATGCAAGCATGTTTTATTATATTTTTATTTGAAAGCGTACAATATTGATAAATTTGAATATTTATTATTCTTTAAACGCTAAGAGGTGCGGTTGTGATGTTTACCAAAGATACAAGGGCAACGTTTTGTTTGAAGTAACCCTGCAGACGTCATCACACCCCGCGCTGAATATCCTGCCCGCAGATGTTAGTAGATGACTTTCTGCCCATACCCCAGTCAAATCTCCATCAAATCATTTCATTTTCGCACTAACCGTTCATTCTTTTAAGAACATTTGGAGCTCGTTCATACAACTTCATTAATATGTTAAGTACATTAGTGAACGCCAAATATATCTCATATAAATCATGTCAAAATTTGAAATAAGTGTTTCTTTGTATATTTGAAGTTGTTACTTTCTTTAATGAATGAACATTGGGTCGTCTTTCGAATGGGCCGCACGGTGCACCATCTTCAACCACGCTAGCATCGGCCCGACAGCCGTTGTTAAATAATAATAAAAAAATCAATTGATATATACACTCTACAGTTAAATATGCATTACTTTTTTCTATTAATTAGGTTTGCATCGGAGCGATAAAAAGCCTAACAGAACATATCAACAGTCAGTCTCTACAAAACCCCGATCTCGAAATCTCACTGATTAAAGTCGCACAGGCAGAGTTAGTAATGTTCCACGGAACACCTCTTGCTGATCACTTCTTCGACCACGAAGCCAACAGTACCAGAGCAAAAATCTCAAAATTTAGCAATAAATTGTACAAAAATCACTTTGAAAATGATTTCAGTTTTAGTTATTCCAATGCTAAAGCTTTATCGCAAGTTGAGTTTGAACCACTTGGCGATAAAGATTTTTCCGGGTTAAATGATTGCAAGCAAATGAGCAAAAGTTTTTTAGCGATTCAATTGGTTTTTCTTGCTCTGATTTCATTCAGCTACACGTAGCCGATATAATTAAATTGTAATTGCAAATGTACACTGTTACATACACACACATTTGTTTATCTGTACAAGCTTATTTGAATTTTAATAAAACAATAAATATGCACAAACATGCACACTACTATAGTAAATGAAGCATTCTGCTAACGGATAGTAGGCATGAACGATTGTTCGGCAATTGAAATCTGCTTTACGTCAGTTAACAATTTTTATTAGAATGCTCATTCGTTCGTTCATGAACGTTTTGTCGTCTCAAGTCATGTTTCTCACATTTTATAAAGCAATTATCATCGATTCGTGGCACAACGACCAAATTTCACATGGCAAACAAATGCAGGCAGGTAACCCGGCGAACAAATCATTGAACCGTTTGTCGTCTCAATTTTGTTACGGCCACTTTTTAACGGGTAATTAACGTACATGTTATTTTCTCTGTAATTTTTTGAACGTAAAACTTCAAATATTTGTAGAATTAAAAAAATTGCATAATTAAATTCTTTTAATTTGTTAGATTCTATTCATTTAGAACATGTTCTATTATGTAACTGAAAAATGAAGCAATTTTTGAGTAGGTGACAGAGGAACATTACTTTTGGTTAAAGCAATTCTATAAGTTGTTAATTTTTCTTTCTTTTCAATTAATAAACTCTTATAAAATCAAAAAGTAATTTATGGATAAAACATCAGTTACTACAAAGAAAATATTACCTCGGCAGCAGCATGTCAGTTAGTTGGGTCGGTGAACATTGGGGTCACTTGGACCGCGGCTCAGTCCAAGAGGATTCAACAGAACCATAGAGGGCAGATGATAAAAAAAACCTCCTTGCATAGCATGCCTCTTAATCATTCTTACATGGTAATCATCACGATGACGTAGAACAATTTTTTTCCTTCATACAATAAATTTATTTCAAAAACATCAAATCAATATGTAGTATAAAGTTTCAGTCATACATTGACAGCCCAGTTGCTTCTTGTTGCTTGCTAATTACGTGCGTTCGAAGACAATGATTTCTGAAAGTTTGTTGAAACATTCACGTTAAAAATTAAAATGGCAACATACTGTTGCAATAACAAATAATAAATTAAACTCAACGATCACAAAAGATTCTCGTAAATTAACGGTAATGCAAAGATCAAAACAACTCTTTATAATCACATCAGGTACAGAAAACAGACTCGTCCTACTTTTAAAACTTTAAAATATAACAAAATTATTGCAAAAAATATGCATCATATTTTCAAGAATAATTATTGAAATGCCCCAGACACAACAGCAGAAGAGACTTGTTGGCGGGTTTAATTATTATCTATTAGAAAAAGCTTTCACTTATATCAAGTTATGGCTGTATCTTTTTAAATAGAGTTTTAAAGAATTTTTCATTTCCGTGTAAAAAACAATTGTTAAAAAAATTTGCCAAAACAAAATCAAACGGTTGAGTTTATAATGATGTTATGGATGCTTTTATGTATATGTGTGTGAATAAATAAATATATAACTAAAGAAACAATTAATTAATAAGCACATTGAACTACAAACATATAGTAGTTATATTTCCAAAACATCGGCTTCTTTGATGCATATGAGGAATATAGAGAATCGTATTATAAATATATTAAACATTAATGCTATCAATGATGTTCATACAGGTAACGAATCGATGAAATTCAATTTTTTACCATCAATTTTGAAACAATTAAAACATACCTGAAGGTGCCAACAGTGGAGATAGAGCAGGTCGTGCATTCAGTTTGAGGACCTATCTTTTCATTAAACGTGCACTTTCAAACTATTTTATTGCGAGTTAAAAACAAAAAACAGAATGATCGAAATATTAAAATAAGTTGGAAAGACAAGACATTAAGTTAAATGTAGTTCATTATCTCTTATAATTGTCGATTGGTTGGCTAATTGGTTGATTGGTTAGGGGTTGGTTGATTGGTGGGTTGATTGGTTGATTGGCTGATTTGTTGGTTCTTTGTTTATTGGTTGATTCAATCGAATTAAATACAAACTATTCAATTTTGATTTTAAAATAATAATTCATGAATAAAAGTATTACTAAATTAATTTAAGTAAATCGATGTTTAAAATGAAAGCCAAATAAAATAAATGAAAGATAATAAACTCTGCAGATTGTGTGTAAAAACAGTCAAAAGAAACGACAACGCTCAACAAACAATTAACAATGACGTAATAAAGTTTTACAACTAATAAAAGTTTAAAAGTAAAAACTGAAACAAAATCAGATAGAAGATGCGTCTAATGTATAATGCTTCATCATGACTATAAGACATAAGTTAACATTGTTGCACATACAATTATATCAAGTATGTATGCACTGTATATATAATATTTATATCCAAATTATTATCAATTAAAATTAACAACAAAACAACCAAAAAGTTGACTAGTTCACGTGAAAACTCAAAAAAAAAAATGAAAAAATTTATTTAAACTAAAATTGACTAAATAAATTAAAAACGTTTGCCTAATTAATCTTTCTTCAATATATACATCACCTAATAATCACCACCATCAGCATCGACATCATGATTAACAGCAGTACTTACGAGTGGAACGAATAAAGATCCAGTGGCGAAAATAACAATGGAAGATTCGAGAAAGATCATTATTGTTGCTAACACGCACGCACGCTTCATTAATAAACTAACTACATTATCCCACACACAATTCATCCATCTATCCGCTCAATCTTCATCCATTCATTCATTCTACAGTTCATGCAAGTGACCACAATTGCAGCTAGCATAAAACAGTATATAACAAAGGACCAACACAAATGACGTCAACATCAATAACAACATCAACAAAATTGACAACAACAACAACAACATAATGAACAATAAGAATAAGAAATCATTCAACAATTGATAAAATGCTTAACCAGTCAAATACTTAAGCAAGAGCGCCAAAAAATATCAAAAGAAGAAAAAGACAGCATTACGTCTGCTGTTGGAATAAAAAGATGTGAGGATGCTTGTACAAAATAACGCGATTATGTATATGTATAAATGCATACACAACAACCTTTGAATGACAAATTAATTATATTCGTGCTACTCCTATCAGGGAAGAATCAAAATAAATAAAATCGCCATCATCCATCTACCTCTTCTTCATCATCAACATTAGAGACCGGATCCATAGATTGATTGATTGATAGATAGATAAATAGATAGATAGATAGATAGATAGATAGATAGATAGATAGATAGATAGATAGATAGATAGATAGATAGATAGATAGATAGATAGATAGATAGATAGATAGATAGATAGATAAGCAAAAAAAGAAAAATTATATAAAATCAGCAAAAGATGAAGTATCGAGATGAAGTAAAAGGTTCCTTATGAATGCCATCTCCTTGCGTGTGTTGTCGAATATGACTCTGGGATCGGAAGACAGACACCTGAGACAGTTGGGAGCCATCACCATGGCCAGGTTGTTCACATCCATCTTGGTACATTGCACGTTCTCAGGTCGGCAGAAGACCTGAACACGTGTTGTTTCTTGTTAGTAAAGTTGATTGATGTCAGTCTGATTTTATTTCTTTGCGTGTCTGTCTTTTATTATTTATTTCATTCAAATGATTGCTGCAACTAGGAGAATAATTTTGATTGGCTGGATGAAAATAAATTATAAATTCAATAACATAAACGTTAAATACACACACACACACACCACAATATCTCTCTCTCTCTCTCTCTCACACACACACACACACACACACACTTACTAACTTGTAGAAACCTAATGAGATAGGTGATAACCGATCTGTTGATCTCTGGCAGCGAGGAGATGACGGCCATGGAAGCATCAGGGTCAGCAAAACTGTCAATGCACTGTTGATGGAATGCATAGGGTATGAGAGGTTCCTGCAACTCCCTGTACCACAACTTCAGGAGAGATGCGGGAACGTGTGGGTCGTGAAGATTAGACGGGGGAGGTAGCCAGCGATCGCATCTCACCTTCAACGAGTTCACTTCGTCAATGTCACCTGGTATTCTGTGGAAAGATGGTGGTGTGTGTTGTACACAAATTGTTGCACACTACCTGTGGCACGCTAACAGTAGTCAATAAACTAATGAACAAACTCCCGCCAGCCCACACAACAACATCATCCCCGCCAGCCCGCCATCATCAACCGACCGACCAACCAACTAGCCAGCTAACCATTACCAACTAACTGACCTAAATATTCCTTCAGTGGCTGCCCCGTTCAATCTGAGAACCTCCTCAGAGAGCATGGTTTGGATCCATGGCAAACTGCTTTCCGGGTACCTCTCTTTCTGCAGGTTCATCACTTCAGATAGTGTGCAACCGAACATCGATTGTTCCACCATTGATTTCTGTAGCCATTCACAATCAGTTACAAGCATTTACAACCACGTAAAACCATTCACAGCCATTTGTGGTTATGCAAGTCTTGATATTTAAGGAGAGGAAGCCCACACGTGCGACTCACTCCGTCATACATGCATGTTGGAACGTGACAAAAATATTTCTTGAATACATTATCAGTACGAAATTAAACAAATGAATAACGTATTTTATTAAACCTAAATATATTTTATATAAACTTAACTCTTCAATTTAAATCCTAGCTATTTGATTTTTCGGTTTTTTTTACAAAATTTTACGAAGTTAAAAAACTTTGTCCGCAGTTATGCGTTTGTTGTTGCAATCTGTAGAGCGATAAGTGTCGTATAATATATAACAGAATAGTCGTAATTAGCCGCTGTGAAGGATTTTTGTTGGTTTGAAGGTTAAAGAAATATTTTAACGATATCGCCAGATCTTTTCAAACTAATGAAAATCTTTCAGCAACTCAGACATGTTAAGAGCTAACCCGATGGCCTAATAACTCAAACTTTTCACTGATTGCATCTTGTTTTCTGGAGCATAATGCTTCTCAAATCAATTTAACAACTTGATGGATACCGATTCATAAATGGACATGCAGGTCAGCCGTAGGCAGGCAGAAACAATCAGCCCTATTATATGCTGCATCGTAAAATGTTCCAATCTGAATAATTAATGTCAAATAAAAAAATCTTGCCAAAAACTATTAAATTTTAACGAGTTAAAAACCGCCTTTTTGAATTAACAATCTAATCAATTTTATTAAAGTGATCGTGAAAAACCAAGTACAATAAGTTTCATCCAGCGAAAAAAGAGAATAAAATCTAAATGATGAACCAAGCAACAAAAGATAGGAGTAAAAAAATGTATGGTGATGAACAGTCGGCGGCTAATGAGTAGTGGCCTACGTTCGTCCCCATGTACCCCCCCTGGTCTCATGGGGCTGCGCATCCTTCCTCCGACTATTCACGACCTCTCTAAAGATACCATGCAACCGGCACGAACGAACAAACGGACAGACCTTAGCATGGTCAATCTCCTCGAGACTCGGTTTCTTCAAGCCCTTCTTCGCTCCGCAGTTCACGACCCACTGCAGTCTCTTCTGACAGCACAATGTGTATATGTAGGTCAGCGACTGTTCAGTTCAATTGGTTCATTATTCTCCATTTATTACTATTATGTAGTTGTTATAATTATTACAAAAAGTAAGTGTTAAAAGAGCCAAGGTATCAAAGCAATTGATATAAAAAATGTGTAGCAAAAACTACTGAGCAAATAATGGAATGGATTTTGAAATGAAAAAACAAACATCCAAAGCAATGAATTCAATAAAAACTAAAAACTGATCAAATGACTGCCAGCCAGTAAGTTAACCAATTATTTACAAACCAATAAATTAATTTACCAATAAATCAGTTCAACCCTCTAACCTTACTCAACCATCCAACCAGCCAACCAACCAGCCAGCCAGCCAACCAACCACCCGACTAAGCAGCTAACTAACCTGCGCCTTATCAATCTGATTGTAAGCCTCAACATTCTTGCATATGTGACCTTCTAGGTAGGAGTAGAACTTACAAGATGGAGGGAAGAAGGCCAGACAGATGCCCAACAGCTCCCAGCCTTGCACGGCACTATCTCTAGTTAATTGTTTTTTAACCTCAACATCGTAATTAGGAGACAAGGGTCACAACCACTTTAAGAGCATAAACAGCCGCTACAAAACCGACAACGACCATTTCAACAACAACATACTTACTCTCTCGGATTCTTGGTGGTCTGCCTACAGAGTTGTATGTAGATCTCATCTCTCATCTCCACACTTATCCAGCCACGAACGGCGATTTCAAGTGCAATTTGAGCTAGTGGCTCTTTTGATTTCCTGTCACCCATGTACACCTGAATGAGTTTGAAAACTTCCGAGGCTTCCTTCTTCACTGATTTGTTATTTGTCCTTATCATCGGCTTTGTTATTGGGTCCTGTGCAGATGATGACGGGCATATAGATGAGAAGGATGAAGATGATGACGTAGATGATGACGACGACACCTACCTTGGTCCAGCTGAGCATGTGACCCACTGACACCGCCTTTCCTAGCAGCCACTTCCTGTGCTCATTCAAATTTTCCAGCACAAATTGTTCTATGTGCATCTGTCATTTTAACAAATAAATGGAAGATGTCACGTCCTGAAAGATAGTCCAAATGACCAGGTTTGAATGCCAGCAAACCCCAACCAACTACAATTGTACCATGTCTCATCTTGTTAGTAAGCATGCTCCTTCTCCTTATTAAATTTCAATTCACCGAGTAGCAGCACTACGCTTTAAAGAATACAAAAACTAAATTGAAACGAACTTGTTGCAACAAAGTCCCTGCCACTTTGTTGGCGATGACGTTTTGCGACGTTGTTGTTTGCGCTTGCGGTTGGTGGTACTGTGACTTGCTGCTGAAGTTTGGATTCATCATTGATTGTGGTCTGTGCTGAGCAAGTTCTGCCTGACAATGGTGAGAAAATTTATTTATTTCATTTAATAAATATTATCTCCAACAACCAAGTTGCTTACCTACCGCATCCATCACCGACATCACCTATACTATATGACCACTGCAAACACTAGCAAATAGCAGCAGCAGCAGCAGCGAGGCAAACAAGCAGAGAAACAAATACAAAGGAACATACTTGCAGGGACCAACTTTTCTCCAGCGTGCCCTCCTGTCTGAGTACGAGTGCTTGCTGTCGATCGGACGTCCACCTCTTCTTGCGCAGGGATGGGTGGTAGGTGGTGGACGACGAGTGAGACCTCAGAGCGGGTACCAACGTTTGAAACTGTCGACTCTGTGGGGATGGAGTCGACTGAGCACTGCCTTGGTCTGAATCATCGAAATCTATTTCAGGCGCACCTGGGTGGGTTGTGGTTGATGATGAGGATGGCGATGGTGTACACCTACGAGAGAAGACAAGTAATTGCATTTTAAAGTAGATGGTAGTATCATAAATAACAAACCATCAGACAATCAATCAATCAATCTTCAGGCGCCAAACAAACCATCAGACACTCTGCCAGTAAAAAGTTTGAACTGCTGCTGCTGCTGATTATGATGTGAATAGTGTTGAAATTTATGGTGATTATGAAGGAGAAAAAGATTTTGCTGTTGATGATGACGATCGATCCTCAGGCCATCACTGTCGACATCTGGTGGTGAGTAGCGACCGCCGTACCTGAAGACTCCATTCCGAGAGACCGGTAGGTTGAAATAGTTAATACTTGTCTGGTGTTGTTGCTTGGTAGGGTGCTGCTGTTGTTGTTGAAATTGCTGTTGTTGTTGCTTCTGCTGCTGCTGAAGTTGTTGTTGTTGCTGTTGTCCAACCACATTCACATACTCAGGCTCTGATCCTCTTCTATTTATTGACTTTTTAATTTTTTCCTGTACCAACAAATTGTGAAAATGATTAGTGAGAAATTTTAGTACCAAAAATTAGCCACCATGTAAATTTATTAAGAACAACAACAGCACGACAACCACAAAAACAAGAGCAGCAGAGACGGACCATGAAGTGAAAAGGGTTCTTCTTGGATTTGACATGTGGGTTTTCAACTGGAGCAGCCACAACAGCAGGAGGAGTTTTGACTGGTGCAAAGTTGTCAATCAAGTTTGAATCATTGCTATATATGGGTTCATCATCGATGTTTGTTGTTTGACCTTTGACCTTTGGTGGGTGTTGTTGATAGGAAGGTGGATTGTTGTGCGAATAGAAAGGTGGGGGCGGTTGTCTATGTAAGTATGGATAGCAGGTGTTCTCAGGAGTTTTCAAATCCAATGCATTTGCATAGATCGATTGACTGGTGAGTGTTTTGTAATCAAGGTGGTGGTAGTGGCCATTATTGTTGTTGTTGTGAAATAAGTTGTGGTTCATCATGTTGTTGTTGTTGTTGTTGTGTTTGTTGTTCCTGTTCAGAAAGTTATCATCCATTGTTGGTTGTTTGAACAATTTTGATCTAGTGAATTGTTGCGGTTGATGTTGTGGTTGTGGTTGGTCTGGTGAGAATTTTCTTAAAGGAGCATTTTGTTGTGGTAAAAAATGTTGTTGCTGCAGTTGATAATTTTGTTGTTGTTGGGGTCTTGGTCTCCTGTAAGTTCCTATGTAGGAAGGATTGGTCCGAGGGAAAGCTCTGGGTTTTGTTGAAACATCAACTTGTTGCTTGCTGCTGCAATTCAAGCGTTGAGCTGCTTTGTTAGGCAGATTGTTGACGATGCTGTCATTGTTGAAGGTGCTGGTGACGACAGATGAATGCAGATAACTCGGGTAAGCCCGGTATGGGTCATTCGTTGAAGACCCTGGAGTCACAAACCGCTGTTGACCATCTTGCTGGTGCACCATAAAATTTTTCTGCCTAAAATGCTGCTGGTTATTTTGCAACAAATCACTTTTTCGTTGCTCAGCTGACGAGGTGACGGTCTTGAGAGTACCAAAAGTTGCTCTTGAATCAATGGCAGATGACATCATGAGCATGGAGGTGCTCGACTCTTCAGGGATGATGAAATTGCTCGGAGACAACCTCGGCATCATCTTGCTGTTTTTCTTACTGGAACCAGCATCATTACTATTACCTGAAAACTTCATCTCATTGGTTACGGATAGACTACTGAAGAGACTCCTCCTCTGCTGGTTCGACCAATCAGGAGTTGTTTGTGACGGCGGTGGAGGAGGTGGAGGAATTTGATTGGCTGATGTCTTGCATTTGTTTGCTCTGTTTGATTTTGCTTTGAAACAAAAACAATGGTAAAGTTAAGTATATAAATTTTTCTGCCAGTGTAGTTCTTGTTTGAAGCTAAACATTAGGATGACTACAGCATAAAATAATGATTATTCTCTCAGCTTAATAATAGAATTCAATCAATCAATCAATATAGAATTAATAATAATTTTAATAATTAATAATAATAATCAATTAATAATAGAATTCCTTTATATAAATAATTTAATAACCATTAAAAAATTAATTTCACAAATTTTTATTTAAAAACACCTCTTTGGCTAGATCTGGAGTTTGTCTTATTGAGACAATCCCCTGACTCCTTCAGTTCATCAGTTAGCTGCTGATCACCACTGCGACCACCACCATCACCATCATCATCATCTTCTTCTTCTTCATTATTTGGTTTATCATCATCACCACCATCATCATCACCTTGAACGTTTCCACTACCATCATCATCATCACCTTCAACCTTTCTACCACCGTCATCAACATCATCACCATCTCGACACTGTCTGACCATCCACAGAAAGTTGTTGTTGTTGCAGCCGTCGACATCTGCCAGGTTGGATGTCTGGAGGAAATATTTCATCAGCGATCGTCATCATCACCAACATATTATTACTATAATCATCATCATCATCTGTATCATCATCATCATCAACACTGTCATCATCATCACCACAAACAACCATAGTTATCATCGTCATCATCATCAGGAATGCCATCCATGCAGTCCATCAGAACAGCAAAGAGCATTCATTCAAATTTGAATAAATAAGAAACAAACAATGAGCACCCAAACAAACAAGAGAACGATGGAATGAAACAAACGAATGAACAAGAGAACGATAGAATGAAACAAACGAATGAACAAGTGAACGATAGAATGAAACAAACGAATGAACAAGAGAACGATAGAATGAAACAAACGAATGAACAAGTGAACGATAGAATGAAACAAACGAATGAACAAGTGAACGATAGAATGAAACAAACGAATGAACAAGTGAACGATAGAATGAAACAAACGAATGAACAAGTGAACAAGCAGGACAAAAATTTAATGGTGAACAAACTGAACAAATGGTTAAATGAAGAAAACAAACCTGGTGATTAAAAATATGATTGAATGAACAAACAAGTGGAAATGTAACGTAAGTAATGGTAAGCAGGCAAACAAACAAACCAGCAAACAAAAACAAACAAACCAACAAAGAAGCAAGCAGACAAACAAAGAAGCAAGCAGACAAACAAACAAACATGTGAGTTTTGATTGATAATATCCTTTTTGTTAGCTGCAGTAAAATGGTTGGATGTAGTATCATGAGGTGAAGATGATGAAGAAGAAGAAGATGATGATGATCCATAACTATCAACACTGGTTGATGAATTTCTTTTGATAGCCTGAATGTGTATTTTCAACGAATCAATTTATAAATGAGTGTTATCAACATAATCATTAGCTCTACTTCAAATGATAGGAAGCACTGTCAACTGATATGACATATTAAATCTATCTATCTATCTATCTATCTATCTATCTATCTATCTATCTATCCATCCATCCATCCATCCATCCATCCATCCATCTATCTATCCATCCTATCTATTCGACAATGCATCAACAAGATAGGAACCTGCAACTTGGCCAATGGAATGATATCACAATTGCTTGGCCTGTGCCACACAGTTTCTTGCAGTTTTGCATTGTAATAATAAAACCTGCCAAATTATTAAATATCACAATGTGCGACAAGTGAGACAGCATTAAAAACATCAAGAGAAACAGTGCAAAAGCAACACTAACAACACAAACCTTGATGTATTTGCATCATACAGCTGCCACCATTCAGTTTCATCTGATTCTTTACTGCATGATTGTAATTATTTATTGCATTGCATTGGTGGTGGTTCTTATGTAAAATATGAAATTATTATTAAAAATTTTTAAATTCTGTGAAATCATAGTTAAAAATCATTGTAAAACAACAAATATGAAAAAATGAATAAACGAACTAATTAACAAGTGGATAGATGAATAGACTTAAAATAAATTAAAAGATTGAATGAACAAATTAAAAACCAACTAAGGAGCATTCGGGGCTTCCCACAAGCATTCGCCAGTTACCAGGTTAGCGTACATAAATTCCTTGGTCTTTGGTTCAACTATTTGCACCCATTCTAATGCTGAACTGCTGATGAAATTACATAAAACAAAACATAAATAAAAAGTTTCCAGCAATCTATTTTTAACCCATTCTTCCTAAATGCAAAATAAAAGTCAGTCAGGCAACACAAAAAGAAGGCAGATGAAAGATTGGTGCAGAAACTCAGATCAGATAGAAATAGGTAGAATTAGAATAGAACTCAGACCCTTAAAAAGTTAAAGTTAAACCTGTTAAATTAAACAAAGTTAAACTAACCAACCAAAAATTTATTATGCTAAATTCATTTCAAACTTAAAATTATTTTTTATTTCATAAAAAAATTTAATTTACCAAACTATTTTTCTGAAATAGCTGAAAAGTTAAAACCGAACATTAGTTAATTAACAAATGTTTGCTAGCTTCTCATTTCATTCACCAGTTAATAATGAATCTCTGTTGATTAGTGTTAGATAAGTATATGGGAAGAAGTCATTTAATTTAAAATTAAGAAAAAATTAAGCAAAAATAGTATGAAAAAAATGCAAAGTTACTTGTCGGCCATTTTATATATGCATCGGAGCAGCCGAAAGTATCAAAGCTTAAAAATTAATTCCTCTAAAAATCCGCCATTTTAGCTGTTTATAATTATACATCAAATGATCAAACTAACTTTCCAACTGGCTTTATAATTCTTATTCTTAAATGAAAAAATTATCTTTTTCATTAAAATATTCTATAAAGTTTGTAACTAATTTTTTTATTTAAAAAAATAATTTTTCTTTATTTTATTTTTGCATAAAAAATAAAAACAAAATTGTCACCTTTCCTAGAACTACCTTGATTAACATATCATGCAAGTCTACACAAAAATATAAATTATAGGTATTAATATACACATACATACAAATATATATATATATATATATAATATGTTATATATATATAAATATAATATATATAATAAATATTCACATATAAATACATGTATACATATACACATATATAGATAATATGTATATAAATATGAATCTGTCACTACATGTGGCTCCTTATTCAATTTTCATCTGTCCATTAGTGGCTTGTGATAGGCATTTTCGAAGAGTCTTCCATCTTTTCCGCAGGTTATATTTCATGATGCTTATCAATGCCTGTATAATAAAAGATAGACAACTATTATCTAGGTATTTTGGTATTAATTTGGATTAGCTACTCTCAATAAAAAATAAAGAGAATAAAAATATAAATTATAAATTTAACCTATGAATATATATAATTTCGTAGTTTGAAGCATTATTATTGTTGGTTAATTTTAGTCATTATTTTCAAAAAAGATCATTTTTAAAAGTTCCTATTTATCTCATTATACTTCAATTGAATGTTTTAAAAATAATATACAACCAGAGTATCGGTCTGTAATATATGTGGCAATACACACCACACATACACTTTTTTTTACATACAAGGTATAATTTTCATTTTTATAATGATGTTTGCTGTGATAATAATTGCAATCTTGATTAAAATTTTGAATGGTTCTCTTAACTATTGAAGTTTAAGCCTACAAAATGTGAACTTAATTTACTTTTTTTATAATTATCGGTATTTGTATGTGTTGAGATTGACGTATTTGTTTGATACAAGTATAAAATTATGTGCACACGCATACATCTAGGTAAATCCACGTACAAACAACACCGTCATCGTATTAAATTTAATATTACATTTCGAAGTAATCTCACGAAGCTGATATGATTTATAAGAGGTAGCGAAGTTCTTCAATTAGTTGTTCATTTATCACAACAGTCCTTCAATATAATTTTGCATGAGACTTCGATGCAGGTTGAATTGTTTTGGGCTGCAGTAGAGCTTGTTATACACTACACATACACACACACACACACACACACACACACACACACACACACACACACACACACACACACACACACACCAATACATATCTACATACATACATACCTACATACATACATACATACATACCTACCTACATACATACATACATACATACATACATACATACATACATACATACATACATACATACATACATAAATACATACATACATACATACATACATACCTACATACATACATACATACATACATACATACATACATACATACATACATACATACCTACATACATACATACATACATAAATACATACATACATACATACATACATACATACATACATACATAAATACATACATACATACATACATACATACATACATACATACATACATACATACATACATACATACATACATACATACATACATACATACATACATACATACATACATACATACATACATACATACATACATACATACATACATACATACATACATACATACATACATACATACATACATACATAA